CATTTTGATTCAAAAGCTTTGATTCAAAAGCTGCAATCTTTTTCTTCAGTGATTGAGATTCCAGTACTCACAACCATGAACTAATTTACTAGTGCTTTGCCATAGGTTCTTAATGTTGTTTAATCTCCACTGTTGTTCACTAAAGAGCCCAAGTATTCAAAATCTGTAGCGTTTTTTATTTCTTCATTTTCGACTATGATATGTGTTTTGTTTGGGTAATATATATTGATATTTTCCACGCTTTGGGCCAGTCAGTACTGTTCTAGATTTTCACACCTAGTACAATAATTCAGAGGATAAAGATGTTTAAATAGAATTATAAATATACAAAACTCGGCTATAAACACTCAGAATCGAGATAGAAATGAACTGTTTTGCATAGAAATATTATGTTTCAGATAGAAATGTGCATATTTGAGTTTGAAATATATTAAGATTTCACTTAGGGGAAAAAAGCTTGCGTAAAATAAAGTTGACGGCAGTTTATAAAATAGATTTCAGTATTGATTTGGACTGTACCAGTAAATTTCATTTTTGTATACAATGTTTTTGTCATATGCCAGTAACATTCACACAACAGTATTTATTATGCCACATATCACCAGTATATGTGTAGAATCTTTTCTGTCGATATATATTTTCAGTACTTAGGCACTTTCTATCATACGTCACCAGTACTTAGGTAAGGTATTTTCTGCGCATGTCATCTTTGATTTAGACAGATACTTCCAGCAGTTTATCACCAACACTTTTTTTTAGGGTACTTTAATATACTACCATGCAGTCAGAGTACTTTCTGCCACATGTTAGCAGTATGTCAAGTACTTTATTACCAGTACTGTTTTACCAGTAGTAAGCAAATAGGGTACTCTGAGCAGGGCACTTTCCATTATGTCGTCAGTACTTGGGTAGGGTACTTTACTACCAGTACTTAAGCAGGACACTTTCCATCATATGTTGCCAGTACTTTAGGTATACCACTACCAGTACTTATGCTATGTGTTACACATTAGCTAAAGTAGTTAGGTAGCATATTTTGCTATCAGTACTGTATTTCTTTCAGTCCTTCAGAAAGAGAAAATCTGCTTTTGAACTAAAATTCTGTAGAAAGATTCTCAGAATATCTTGGATATAGAAGATGAGAGTTATTGACATATTGAAAGATCTGAACATGAACGAAGATTGGCTAATAAACAGCATCCTGTCTTGGAAGCTGAAATATTTTGGTCATATCAATCGCCACGACGGATTGGACAAAATAATAGCACAAGACATGGTACCAGGAAGGAGGGGTAGGGGCCGACCAACACGAAGATCGGCACAGGATATAAGTGACTCCTTAAGTATGAAAGTACATGAGGCGGGAAAGCTGGCGAGAGACTGAGTTTCTTTCAGGCAGACAGTGATAAGAGCAACGTTCTGCAAAGGACCTGCTACATGATGTTGATGATTGTAGTTCTAAGAAGAAATATACTAATGGACTAGACATAGTACTGTTTTTCTATGTAGAAATATACTAATGGACTAGACATAGTACTGTTTTTCTATGTAGAAATATACTCATAGACTAGACATAGTACTGTAGTTCTAAGTAGAAATATACTAATGTACTGTAGACATCATTTTGCAGTGACTGGGTAATATTGTCAGTCTGAGTGTGAGTAATGTGTTTAATTCCATCTTGCCAAAAGCAGTGTGCAGTTTGTTACATCCCTTTTTACACCCCACCATATATTAACATTCCCCCTATGTGGTTGTTATCCATACATATTTGATAGCAGATTAACTCGTTTATTCCCAGACAGTCCTTACTTGAACTTTTTTTTTCTTTTACCTGAAGCAGTTCTTACTTGAATCTGAAAATGATAGGCCAAAAGTAGTTGTAGTATTAACCATATTAAACAGCAAAGGTTACAGCAACACTTTGGGCAGAGAGGGTTAAAATAGTATCTGTCAGGATGAGACACATAGATTTGAATAGAAATATATAAGGCATTATCTGTAAATTTATGGTTAGTTATGAAGTACTCAGTTACGAGTTAACTAGAACTGTGATTTTTCAGTCTTTCAGGATAGATAAACTTGACTAGTGTTTTAAAAACTTTTCAGGATAGAAAGATCAGGCCAATGATTCTAAAACTTTTCAGGATAGGTAAACTAGACCAGTGATTCTAAACTCGTCAGAATAGACAAACATAACCAATGATTCTTAAACTTTTCTGGACAGATAAACTAGACCAGTGTGATTTTAATGCACTTTCGGACAAAGTAGACTAATGAATATATAACTGTTCAATGCGTGTGTGTGTATATATATATATATATATATACATACACACACACACACACACACACACACACACACACACATATATATATATATATATATATATATATATATATATATATATATATATATATATATATATATATATATATATATATATATATATATATAAAAACTATTTTAGGGGTTCTAAAACTTCTTAGGATTGATAGACTAGACCAGTAATTCTAAAATTTTTCAGAATAGATAAACTAGTCCAGTGATTAAAAAAAGTATTCAGGATAGATAATGTAGACCAGTGATTCTAAAACTTTTCTGGCTAGATAAACTAGTCCAGTGATTCTCACATTTTCAGTATAGATACACTGGTTATGTGAAATCTGCACCCCTTTGCCATATACATATAATCTGCTTGTCACCACATACTGTTTTCAATTGAATGTATATTTCGTAGCTGGCAGTATCCTACTGAAGATCTCAGTAATCATTTCATGTATATTAACCTTCTCTGAGATAACACATTTTTTAAAGTTTTATTTATTGTTGTTATATTATTAATGTTGTTGGATTTTAGCTCTTTCAGCTTAGAATTTCACTCCCCACCTTTGATAGCAAGGTACAACAGTGTAGCACTATGGGCAACTTAATTATAACTTGTCATAAGGTTGATCCGGGTATACAGGTTTTTGCTTCTGGGTGTGACATCCATTATGTGGCTCTTTGAGTCATGGGGGTTTTCAGACATTTAGTTATTCTCCATATCAGTTGCAGGGCTGTTTTCGTTTTTTTTTGGGGTGGGGGGGGGGGGGGGGGGGGGGGGGGGGGGAGGAGGGGGTGAGTAGATCCACTGCCTCATAGCATGTCGTTAAAAATAACTAATGAGGGGTGCTTCCTTCAAAGTCAGAGTGCATGTGCCTAAGAGGGGAGGAACCAGCAGTCTGCATAACATAATCCAGATTGTAAAACAGGTGTGCATGTAACTCACGTCTTGGAACAAGACTAAAGTCCACAAGTGGACGGACAAACAGCCAAATATGTCCGCCATAGTTTACAGCCGGAAAGTGCTAAGGAAAAAAAATAAGAAGAAACCTTTCGGTAAATGCCTGGTGGGGAGAAACAGTCAGTCTTTCTGCCCAGAGATACAAGGGATGGTTGCACAATTTTTCCCTTTAAGCATTTAGGCATTTCCATACGATATTGGGTAGGGGGGGGGGAAGGAGGGGGTACTGGGGCCCATTTTTTGAGAGAAGTGATAAGAACTGATCCCCCCACCCCACCCCCATCCTACTAAATCAAGCATGTCATAAAAGACAACTAATTAGAGGTCTGCTGATTCTGTTGTGCAGGCCCAAAAGGTCCAGATATTGCACCTTATCTGTAAACCACAGCGGGTTGCTTTCTTTAGTATCTAGTATCTTTGTGACATAGCTTTTTTCTAAATATACAAATTATGAGACTACACAATGTTACAAATTTGAGACTATAAATGTGACAAGAAAATGAGAACTAAATATGACAAAAATGAGAACTGTATAATGTGAAAAATCTGAGAGCTGTGAAACTGACATATATGAGAATTGTAAAATGTTACAGATATTAGAACCATAAAATGTGTCAAATATGAGAACTATAGAATGTGAGAACTATAAAATGTGACAAATTTGAGACTATAAATTTGAAGAGAAAAAAATTACAACTATAAAAGGTGACAAATATGAGAACTATAAAATGTGACATTTATTAGAACTATAAAATTAGCCAAATATTAGAACTATAAAATGTGAAAAATATTAGAATCATAAAATATGAAAAATCTTAGAAATATACAACTTTACAGACTTGAAGATTATAGTGTGACAGATTTGAAAACTGTAATGTAAATATAAGAACTTTATATTGTGACAAATCTGAAAGCTATAAAATATGACAAATCTAAAAAAAAAAATGTATACTGTGACAAATATGAAAACCATATAATGCAACAAAAATTAGAACTATAAAATGTGACAAGTCTGTGATGAAAAAAAACACAAAAAAAAGGGCTAAAAAAAGGGAAAAGGATAAATGGTAAAACTCTTAAATAGCAAAACACTGGACTATAAAATGTAGGAGAGAAAAGCTTAAGAAAATGTAGTTAGCAGCTGGGCATTTTAAAGGTTAATTCTTTCATTACCAAGTGATTCTTATCTTAGGATGTTATATTCAAAGATGTTGTTACTTTAACTAATTATATTCTAAGAAGTTGATGTTTAGTTATATTCTAGGAAGTTGTCATTTAACTATTATTGTTTCAAGAAGTTGTTATTTAACTAATTATATTCTGAGAAGTTGTTATCTAACTAATTATATTCTGAGAAGTTGTTACATAACTAATTACATTCTAAGAAGTTGTTATTTAACTACTAAATGTTTGGTTCTAAAAATGATAAAAACCCTAACAATAAGACTGGGGAACAGAAAGAGTTAAAGAGTTAAAGTAACAATTGAAACAGTGGGTTAGTGTAATAAACAGGTGCATCAAAGGGAGTTAATAGTATACTGTGACAGTTGAAATCAATGATCTCAAGGTGAGTTGCTTGGTATCGGGTGAGTTAATAATCCGAGCAAGTCAAACATATGTAGAGTTCACCACTTAATATCGTTTTCTTGTAGCTGACAGTAATCTTTGCTGCTTACGTGTGATTTTGCTTTTCTTCCCCGCACCGTTGTATAGCATGCGACGCCACACAGTGAGCCTCCACCACCACCACTCCCACTCACAACAAAAGCAGGACAAACCGCTTCCTTCCCATCCTGCTCTGAAAAAACACCTCTCCAGCCCCGACCCCACTCCTTCCGCCTCCGCCTCTGCCGTTTCTGTTAAAACCCGCCTGTTCACCCAAAGACGTTCTGACATAAGCTTGTATCACAACCCGCCTCCATCTGCCCCGCCAGTTGTCGAGTGGGCTGGAGACAGCTCAGACCCATCCCTCTTCACTTTCCCTTGCAGTGTTTCCTTGCCCGACGACGCCAGTGTGACACCATCCACTTCACCAGTTCCTCCTTTGCAGCAGCAGCAGCCGGGAAAGCATTCACCTGAACCTACAGCTGCTACAGTCTCAACAGCGGCGGCCAAGTCAACTTCAGCATCATCATCTTTTCAGCAACTACACCAGCGACACTCTGTGTCACCAGTTAGGGTCATACCTGCAACGGATACCAGCAGGCGCTTGTCGGATTCTGAAATAGGTTCTCCACCCAAAGGTATGGGATTGAGTTTATTCTCATTCAACTTTTAAATCATCCACTCGGAGAACTCTTCACACACACACAAAGGGTCAAGAATTTGTCAAATTTGCTGTGCACACACAAAATGCATTTCAAAGACCATCATTTTACACAGGTACTAATTTAAATTAAAAAAGAAAAAAAAAACTATCTACATTTTTACATTTTGCTTTTAAATCTGGTAATCTGGTAATCCTAGTTTCAGCTTCATAGCAAACGGGTCACCCCACAGATGCTCTGCTCCTGTGCCAACGAAAAACAAATGCAGCATATGTAAATATGTACGAACGAATGAATGAACTTTATTTTCAAAGGGTCACAGATTAGGAACATTCAGCCCTTCCAAACACCCAACTTTCACACAGCAGTTGTATTTGTTAAATAAAGCATGTTAAATTTATATATCAATATGCATATTTCGAATATGTAGTCAAAAACAACAGCATCGGTGGTAAAATGCAGACATATAAAGGGAGTAGTCAATAAACACAGACCTAGTAAAGCGTCAAATGGAATACATTTCCCGTCTGTTCTGCCATTATCTGTCACACAGGGCTCATGTTGTGCCATTATCTATAACACAGAGCTTGTGTTGTGCCATTATCTGTCACACAGGGCTCGTGTTGTGCCATTATCTGTCACACAGGGCTCGTGTTGTGCCATTATCTGTCACACAGGGCTCATGTTGTGCCATTGTCTGTCACACAGGGCTCGTGTTGTGCCATTATCTGTCACACAGGGCTCGTGTTGTGCCATTATCTGTCACACAGGGCTCATGTTGTGCCATTGTCTGTCACACAGGGCTCGTGTTGTGCCATTATCTGTCACACAGGGCTCATGTTGTGCCATTGTCTGTCACTCAGAGCTGGTAGATTTTTCTACATTCTGTTCTCTCCTGTGCAGTTTTTAATTCATCTTATTGTATTTATGTTCAGCATTTTCCTCAGAAATTTGTTTACAGATGCTTTTAGTTTTCGTTCAGTGCCGTTATTGGTTCTCCAACTTTCACTGGCATATGGTAAAATTGAAATATCATTAGAATTGAAAATGAACAACTTAGAATTCCATAATTTGTTCATTTATGTATATGTTGTATAGTTATCATCCCATCACTTAATTAGATCTGTTGTCCATTTTCTGCAGCACACAGTGTCCATCCAGTGTCAGCTGGGGGAGCACCCGTCAGTGCAGGTCCGAGACTCACTCTTTCCAAGACTTCAGTGCTACAGCAGAACATTGAGCTGCTGGTATGTTGCTTGATGGAATGGTTGGTGAATCCTAGGGGAGATTGAGTTGCAGCTGTGTTAGTAATGACTGAGTTTTAGTTCTTTTAGTTGTGACTGAGTTTGTAGCTCTTTTACTGATGACTGAGTTTTAGTTCTTTTAGTGATGACTGAGTTTTAGTTCTTTTAGTGAAGAATGAATGTAACTCTTCAGCTTGTTGCATGTTATCCATTTCTGTCCAACAGACGCGTGTTCCGTCCTCCGATGCAACAGCTCCCTCAGTGTCTCCATGCTTATCATACCCAGTAAGAGATAATAGGTGTGTCTTATTTCTTTTCCCCAAGGCTGGTTTCTACATGCTTGTTCTCATTTAACAGTATGGAACTTTAATGCTGCGTTGTCTTGAGGCATGGTGTTCGCCTTGAGTGCTAGAGGTTCCAGGTTCAGTCCCTGGTAAGGGCTAGGATTTTTTTACGTGGACTTCAAGTAATTTCCCTTGTTCTCTGGATAGTGAGATCGGACGCCCATGTGCATTGTTTCGCACGTAAAAAACATTTACTGGTAGTTGGAAATCACAAAGAATAGCTAAACGGCACTGCCCAGGCAAAATTTGGAGTTTAAAATCTAGCCAAAGTATTTCAGGATCCTCGCCGGTGCTATAATGCCTGTGCACTGTCATGAGCTTCTTCGTACTCAGACTTGAGTTAGAAGAAGAAAGGATCACTTATTTGTTACACCCGTGTACCATGATGTTGATCCGTTGTTTAAAACCTCAAATAGTTTAGAACTTTCATAAAAATAATATCTACACATAAAATGTGGTTTAAGGTGCATTGTCTGCCTCTTCCCTAGGAGTACCCATTTTTCACCATGCGCAGTTTTCCTGCTGGCTTCATCCAGAGTCTGGGGGGAGTCGTGTCAGCTCGGTCAGTGAAACTGCTGGATAAAATCCACAATCCAGGTGACTGTCCATGTTTGTTGTCATTTTTTTTAACCACATCAAATCTGGTTGATCACTTCTGAATGATTTGGTCATCTGCAGGCTGCCTCCTATTGCGTGCATATATACATATATATACATGCATGCATTCGTGTGTACGAATGTGTGTGAGGACTGATTGAATGCATGAGTGAGTGTGCTTGCCATCCATTTATCATCGATGCTTTGTTTTTTCCTTGATATTCATGTTATGCGTATTGTTAAATGAACATACTTAATTGATAAAATGAAATCGCTATGTGAAAGATGAGTGTTTGAAAGGGCCGAATGTAAGACAGGCCTGCAAACCCAATGTATGACCCTTTGAAAATAAAGTTTGTTCGTTCGTTCTAGAGGCGCAGCCGATGATGAGGAGAGCTCATTGTATGAAAGTGAGCCTAAATAGCCATGAGCAGAAGGCTGTGGTGATTCCTTGGGAGAGCCCAGTACCAGAGCACCATGTATCAGCTCTGCATTTTCCCTCTGAAGTCAGAGCGAATCTGTCTGAGGGGTAGAGAACAACAATCTGCATACAAATCAGCAGATATGTGAAACGGATGTGCACACACAGATCAAGTCCTAGAACAAGACTAAAGTCCAGAAGTGGATGAACAACCAGAACTTTCTGCCAGATTAAACAGCTTGCAAATGCTAACAAGAAGATCTGTGCATTCATGGATTGGGGGGGGGGGGGGGGGAGTTCCACAGTGAAGTGGTCAAGCTATTTGCTGCAAGCTCTGAAGGTCATGGGTTCATTTCACGGTGGTGCCGTTCAGTTCACAAATACTGGTGTTACAGAGATCCCTGGAGATTATCTCTGGAGCTACAGAGTTCGTGCTCTGTGCTGTACTCTTGGCAGCAGCTAGCCATTCTTTGGCGAGAGACTGAGCCATATGGGATGAAACCCGATGTAAAGAAGTTTATCCTCTCAATGCTAACTATGTTCTTGAGTCTAGGCAATGCATTTGTGGTTGTCTCCTTGGATGGCCGGGGGGGGGGGGGGGGGGGGGGGGGGGAAAGAGGGGGGGGATGGCCGGGGGGGGGGGGGGAAAGAGGGGGGGGAGGGTACTCATGTTCCGTTCCATGCCTTTTCTTGAGGGCTGACAAGCATAACATGGCTGCTTTGGACTGGTCTGTTAGAGGCATCACCTGCCAACTTGGCAGCAAAGATGATGAAACAACATTGAGGCTGTGCAGTGTCCCACTAAACTAACCGGGAAGGCAAACCCAAGCAGAAAATGCTTGAAGAAGGACCGGATACTTTTCTGATTAACTGAATACTGTCCTGATTGACTGGAGTTTGTCCTGATTAACTGGATCTTTTGATTGACTATTTTGATAGACTGCATTGACTGTTTCCATTGACTCAATTCTGTTTTGACTGACTGGATTCTGTTTTGACTGACTGGATTCTGTTTTGACTGACTGGATTCTGTTTTGACTGACTGGATTCTGTTTTGACTGACTGGATTCTGTTTTGACTGACTGGATTCTGTTTTGACTGACTGGATTCTGTTTTGACTGACTGGATTCTGTTTTGACTGACTGGATTCTGTTTTGACTCACTGGATTCAGTTTTGACTCACTGGATTCTGTTTGGATTGATTGGTTTCTGTTTTGACTCACTGGATTCTGTTTGGATTGATTGGTTTCTGTTTTGACCCACTGGATTCATTTTTTATTGACTGTTGTAGAGGAACCAGAGACCAGAGATGCCTGGTGGAGAGAGGTCAGGATCGAGATCAAATCCCACGCAGCCAAGCTCGGATGTCACGCTGTGCTGGGATATATGGAACAGACGACTATAAGGTAGTTTTGCATGTGTTATCTTTGTTCCACTCAAGGTAGTTTTTCCCATGTTATTATTATTATTATTATTATTATTATTATTATTTTTATGTTTAACAAGTCTTCATTAACCTGCTGTACATAATGGACGGAAATGAAGTGTATGATAGAATCATCAAAGTCATTTTGTATTGACAAATTAATTGAACCCTTGTGCCCCAGAAATCCTGTCATCATCGTCATCTCAACCTAAACATTGCATGTCATTATTTCACTAGTTTCTGTTGACTGTCTGATCAGCTCTCTCCACATTTGGCGGTCAATTGCAATGGACTTTATGGTTGCATACCTGAAGCCTGTCCAGTCCGGTCAGGTTCTGTAACCACATCTTTCTTAGTCTGTCCCTATGGAAACCCTATAAAAAATGTAATGTTGATGCCATGACTCCAACCACTTTCCAGACCAATGACAGAGTCACGATTGGCCAACCAATAGGCCACCCGGTCGCCGATTTGCTGGTTATTCCTTATACAGGGCTTACATAAAGCTCACATTCTAGCCCTTCTTTCCATGGACAGAAACTTGCTCCAATGTACATCTTAGGCAAAATGTAAGTAAAGCATGGACTTTGGTTAAAAACCTATCTGGAGAAATTAGAAGGGTGAACCAAAAACCAGTGACAATTTAAAAAAAAAAATTTAGTTTAAAAGAAATATTGTGTTGAATCTTGTTCGGCACATCTGTTCTATCTCATTTAAAGGTTTCTCTTAAATTTCCTTATTTCATAAGTCATTTTCTATAATGCAGTGGTGATTGTAAAAATCAAACCTTGTTATTTCACTGACAGCGATGATGTCATCGTGCTCTCAGCGGCCGGCACAGCTGCAAAGATCAACCTCAGCTTTGACCCCACAAAAGCTGCACTGTGCTTGCCTGCTTCCTCCCAGGTCCCTGCCTGCCCCATTTTGTCCACAGACACACCAGACAAAGCTGCAGCAGCAGTAGGAGGAGGTGGTAGGCTCAAGAAAGAGAGGGACAAGGAGAAACATCTGTTTGTCGACATTGGCCTGGCTAATCAAGCGCAGTTGAAGTCTCTGACACTCAGCGACGGGTAAAGAACTTTCCTTAGTATTTACTTATGAGAAGCTAGGACTTTTTACTGATTGAGATTTGCCTACTAGTCTGATTTCATTCTCATTGTGAATGTACTACTTTGATGACATCTGTACTTTGGAACTTAAAAACATAAAAGTACTTATCTCATTTCATTGTCTCCACGAGTGTACTATTTGATGACATATCTGCAAGTGTACTATTTTGATGGCATCTCCACAAGTGTACTATTTGATGACATATCTACAAGTGTACTATTTTTGATGGCATCTCTACAAGTGTAATGTTTGATGACATATCCACAAGTTTAGGCTTAGGTTTAGACGACAGATCAACATTATGGCACAAGGGTAGTAACCCATAAGTGCTCCGTTCTTCTTCTGACTCAAGCCTGAGTCCAAAGAATCTCAGAGCAGTGCACGACCTCCATAGCACAAGCAAGAATCCTGAAATACTTTGGGTAGATTTTTTACTCTAGAGTTTGCCTGGGCAGCGCCGTCGGTTACTATTTGATGACATCTCCACAAGTGTACTGTTTGATGACATATCCACAAGTGTACTGTTTGATGACATATCCAAAAGTGTACTATTTGATGACATAACCACAAGTGTACTATTTGATGACATATCCACAAGTGTACTATGTAATGACATATCTATAAGTGTACTATTTGATGACATTTTCCTAAGTTTACTATTTGAGGATTTCTCTACAAGTGTACTATGTGATGACATATCCACCAGTGTACTATGTGATGACATATCTACAAGTGTACTATGTGATGACATATCTATAAGTGTACTATTTGAGGATTTCTCTACAAGTGTACTATGTGATGACATATCCACGAGTGTACTATTTGAGGATTTCTCTACACGTGTACTATTTGATGACATATCTACAAGTGTACTATTTGATGACATATCCACAAGTGTAATTTTGATGATACATCAACAAGTGTACTACCTTGATGTTATCTCTACAAGGTAACTATCTTTGATGTCTTCTCTACAAAATCTACTTCTTTGATGTAATCTCCACAAGTGTTCTACTTTGGTGGCATTTCTACAAGTTTACTACATTGATGGCATTTCTACAAGTTTACTACATTGATGGCATTTCTACAAGTTTACTACATTGATGGCATTTCTACAAGTTTACTACATTGATGGCATTTCTACAAGTTTACTACATTGATGGCATTTCTACAAGTTTACTACATTGACGGCATTTCTACAAGTTTACTACATTGATGGCATTTCTACAAGTTTACTACATTGATGGCATTTCTACAAGTTTACTACAATGACGGCATTTCTACAAGTTTACTACATTGATGGCATTTCTACAAGTTTACTACATTGATGGCATTTCTACAAGTTTACTGCTTTGATGGCATTTCTACAAGTTTACTACAATGACGGCATTTCTACAAGTTTACTACATTGATGGCATTTCTACAAGTTTACTACATTGATGGCATTTCTACAAGTTTACTGCTTTGATGGCATTTCTACAAATATACTACATTGATGGCATTTCTACAAGTTTACTGCTTTGATGGCATTTCTACAAGTTTACTACATTGATGGCATTTCTACAAGTGTACTACATTGATGGCATTTCTACAAGTGTACTACATTGATGGCATTTCTACAAGTTTACTACATTGATGGCATTTCTACAAGTTTACTACATTGATGGCATTTCTACAAGTTTACTGCTTTGATGGCATTTCTACAAATATACTACATTGATGGCATTTCTACAAGTTTACTGCTTTGATGGCATTTCTACAAATATACTACATTGATGGCATTTCTACAAATATACTACATTGATGGCATTTCTACAAATATACTACATTGATGGCATTTCTACAAATATACTACATTGATGGCATTTCTACAAATATACTACATTGATGGCATTTCTACAAATATACTACATTGATGGCATTTCCACAGATGTACTACATTGATGGCATTTCTACAAATATACTACTTTGATGGCATTTCCACAGATGTGCTACAATGATGGCATTTCTACAAGTTTACTGCTTTGATGGCATTTCTACAAATATACTACATTGATGGCATTTCTACAAATATACTACATTGATGGCATTTCCACAGATGTACTACATTGATGGCATTTCTACAAATATACTACTTTGATGGCATTTCCACAGATGTGCTACAATGATGGCATTTCTACAAGTTTACTGATTTGATGGCATTTCTACAGATGTACTACATTGATGGCATTTCTACAAATATACTACTTTGATGGCATTTCTACAGATGTACTACAATGTTGGCATTTCTACAAATATACTACTTTGATGGCATTTCTACAGATGTACTACAATGATGGCATTTTTACAAGTTTACTACATTGATGGCATTTCTACAAGTGTACTACAATGATGGCATTTCTACAAGTGTACTTCAGTGATGGCATTTCTACAAGTGTACTACATTGATGGCATTTCTACAAGTGTACTACAATGAGAGCATTTCTACAAGTGTACTTCAGTGATGGCATTTCTACCGATGAACTACAATGATAGCATTTCTACAAGTGTTTACTACATTGATGGCATTTCTACCGATGAACTACAATGATAGTATTTATACAAGTGTTTACTACATTGATGGCATTTCTACAAGTGTACTACAATGATGGCATTTCTACAAGTGTACTACAGTGATGGCATTTCTACAAATGTACTACTTTGATGTCATTTCTACAAATGTACTACTTTGGTAGCATAAATTTGTTACTCCTATTTCTTTGTCTGCACAATTGAGCTACTCTGATGTCATCTCCACTAATCTGTTACTCTGATTTCATTATGTATACAAGTGTATACTCTGGTTTTATTGTCTTGATAAATGTACACCTGTGGTATCAACACACTACCAGTTGGTCATATTTACATATCTGTTAACAGTTGCATACCTGCCCATAAAATCTTGTCAGAAGTATCACCAGTGAATGTTTGAGAAATTTTGTTATCTGTGTCTCTCTTCAGGTTTGATGAGTCTCAGACAAGATGCTCTTTATGTCACATTCCATACAGTCTTTCCAACATGCCCTTTGAGATACAGCTATCCAAGTGTGCAACCTGCAGGTATAGTTCATGAATATGTCCATTATTTGAGATACAGCTATCCAAGTGTGCAAACTGCAGGTATAGTTCATGAATGTGTCCATTATTTGAGATACAGCTGTCCAAGTGTGCAACCTGCAGGTATAGTTCATGAATATGTCCATTATTTGAGATACTACAGTCCAAGTGTGCAACCTGCAGGTATAGTTCATGAATATGTCCATTATTTGAGATACTACTGTCTATGTGTGCAACCTGCAGGTATAGTTCATGAATATGTCCATTATTTGAGATACAGCTGTCCAAGTGTGCAACCTGCAGGTATAGTTCATGAATATGTCCATTATTTGAGATACAGCTGTCCAAGTGTGCAACCTGCAGGTATAGTTCATGAATATGTCCATTATTTGAGATACAGCTGTCCAAGTGTGCAACCTGCAGGTATAGTTCATGAATGTGTCCATTATTTGAGATACAGCTGTCCAAGTGTGCAACCTGCAGGTATAGTTCATGAATATGTCCATTATTTGAGATACAGCTGTCCAAGTGTGCAACCTGAAGGTATAGTTCTTGAATATGTCCATTATTTGAGATACGGCTGTCCAAGTGTGCAACCTGCAGGTATAGTTCATGAATATGTCCATTATTTGAGATACTACTGTCTATGTGTGCAACCTGCAGGTATAGTTCATGAATATGTCCATTATTTGAGATACAGCTGTCCAAGTGTGCAACCTGCAGGTATAGTTCATGAATGTGTCCATTATTTGAGATACAGCTGTCCAAGTGTGCAACCTGCAGGTATAGTTCATGAATATGTCCATTATTTGAGATACTACTGTCCAAGTGTGCAACCTGCAGGTATAGTTCATGAATATGTCCATTATTTGAGATACTACTGTCTATGTGTGCAACCTGCAGGTATAGTTCATGAATATGTCCATTATTTGAGATACAGCTGTCCAAGTGTGCAACCTGCAGGTATAGTTCATGAATGTGTCCATTATTTGAGATACAGCTGTCCAAGTGTGCAACCTGCAGGTATTGTTCATGAATATGTCCATTATTTGAGATACAGCTGTCCAAGTGTGCAACCTGCAGGTATAGTTCATGAATCTGTCCATTATTTGAGATACAGCTGTCCAAGTGTGCAACCTGCAGGTATAGTTCAGGAATATGTCCATTATTTGAGATACAGCTGTCCAAGTGTGCAAACTGCAGGTATAGTTCTTGAATATGTCCATTATTCGAGATACTGCTGTCCAAGTGTGCAACCTGCAGGTATAGTTCATGAATATGTCCATTATTTGAGATACAGCTGTCATAGTGTGCAACCTTCATTTATAGTTCATGAATATGTCCATTATTTGAGATACAGCTGTCCAAGTGTGCAACCTGCAGGTATAGTTCATGAATGTGTCCATTATTTGAGATACAGCTGTCCAAGTGTGCAACCTGCAGGTATAGTTCATGAATATGTCCATTATTTGAGATACAGCTATCCAAGTGTGCAACCTGCAGGTATAGTTCAGGAATATGTCCATTATTTGAGATACAGCTGTGGCGCGGTGATTTCGGTCACAGGCATGAGGGGAAGTTAAGTCTGATGTGATGTGTATAAGGAGATATTCCGTACCCCACTCAGGCGCCAGTCCTTCACTGTTCTGGTTTTACGGAACCTCATGCAAGACTCCTGTTGCACGTCCCCGTCGTGCGCCACGGATAATGTCTCAAATGAGCATTAACAGAGTTGGCAGGGGATCTCGGAGCTGGCGGCCCCTAGAGGTGTAGAGTCCTTTCTGGCTCTCACCAGCCCGCCCCCAAACGCATGGGTGAAAAGTAACAAAACTCAAGGACTGCTTGCTAAATGTACCATCAAATGACAACTCTTGGTTAAAATTCGGGAGCGAATGGGAAGAGACTCAACCCTGACCGAGAGATTTACCCGCAGCCAAGACGAGTAACATCTCTTGTGGGCGACTTCTCGCAGCAAGATCCCACCTACGTACATCCTCTGTCAATCCTCAGTGTCGTCGTCACCGCGCTGAGGTACACCATGGCAGCAACTATTCATGCTGGCTTGAAAACAATGTCCGACAAAGTTCCGCCCCACGGCACACATGCAAGCTCAAAGTCCGACGATTATAACTCGTATCGATTAGGAAAAGTCTGAATGTCCGTATCCACTGGTCCAACTCGCCCGAGTGTTGAGACCAAACAGGTGAAGCCACGCCTGACGCATTTTGCTTTCCCATTCTGTCGTGCTAAGGGCACAGCTAAAACAACGTTAAAGGTGTCTAGCGTAAGATGAAAAAGAATGTACCTATTTGTGTGGCCACAAACGTCCTAGACCTGCGGGCTGCTCCCCGCTGATCTCCGGAGAGCGCAGCCTTGTAGCGTGGGAAGCTCAATACACGGTTGTGAGGTTAAGCAGTCATGGGCAGGACGTGACGATTCCTTGGGTGAGCCCAGAACCAGAGCATCATGTGTCGGCTCTGCATTTATGGAAGCCTCCTTGGATGGCGGGGAATGCCCATGATCTGCCCCTGTCTTCCCTTGAGGGCTGAAAACTCTACATAGAGCTGCCTTAAGGACGACATGCCGGGGGCCACACTTGTTAAAAGTCAGAGGACACCACACAAATAAGGCAACATCTCGACCCACACAAAACAATGGCCACAGTCAACCTAGAAATAGGCTTGACGTCTTCCTCCGAAGTCGGAGTACATCTGCCGGAAAGGCGGGGAACGAGTACTGCAAACAAATAAGCCAGTAAAACGGATGTACACGCAAAACTCAGGTCAAGGTAAAAGCCAAAAGTCCATTTTGGACGAACAACCGTGACTTACCGCCGGAATTCACAGCCGGTGAACAAGAAGAAGAAGAAAGAGATACAGCTGTCCAAGTGTGCAACCTGCAGGTATAGTTCATGAATATGTCCATTATTTGAGATACAGCTGTCCAAGTGTGCAACCTGCAGGTATAGTTCATGAATATGTCCATTATTTGACTATTCTCATAGAGAACTTTGCACCTGTGGACAGGCACCACAGAATACCAAACATATGCTACAGACATACTCTCAGCATGCAGTACAGAGATCCCAGGTTGGACAGGTGTTCAGGCAAATGAGCAAGCTGATAGGCTTGCCGGTAAGACTACTGTGAAGGGTAGTTAAACCATGGACCATGCTAATATGCTGAATGCTCTGCGAGAAGTAAGATGTTTGCGAGAACCAAGTGACTGTGAAACAGCAACCATGAACTAACTTCAAGAACAGCAAGTTAAAAGGGGTGTGGCTAGACAAGAGCACTATGCAGGAAGCCAGTTGGCATTCCAATGGAAACCATACTCTATGGAATCATGGAAGGCATGCGTCACACCACAGCCTTCATAGAGGCCTGTGACTTTCTCATCTGAAAACTTTTGGCAGGGAAAATTTAAAAAAATAGAAGAGGATGAGAGTCACTGGACCTTCTTACGTTTTCATGCCCATCTTGGTCAGCTCCGCCCAATTAACACACATATGATTGATGGAGTCCAGCCAGGACACTGTGATTGGAAGGTCATCTCCGCCTTAAGCTGTCAGACAGTCATGTGTAAGTGGCAGGGGTGTCAGTTATCTCTCTAGTGTATATGTTGGAGGGCAGATACGCAGGATGTATTGCACTGGCTTTTCTGAGGGACTTAGTATATAGTATTAGTGTTTGTTGGTGGGTACATGACAACCATCTAGGATTTGCGTAGGAAATGAGTTTATTGTGTAGGATAGAGTTCCTTGTCTGCAGACAGAGAGTGTTGTGCGGGCCACCACAAAATTCTAAGGAGTCTGAAACCACGGGTCTTAGAATACATTGCCTCGTGGGACCTAAGTTCAGTGTGTGGCGAATGGGGGTTTGGGTTAGGGCCAGTTGTAGATGTTATGGGGTCGTTAAAATTGCCCCTCAAATATAGAGCTGTCATGACGGGAAAGTGAGTTCTCGATGTTTTGAGTTCGTAAATGCGTGTCATAAACTGATGCGCATCGGACACAACCACGGCGACACCCCTCTAATCTTGACAGAAGTCGACTGGGCTGATCTAGTATCAGTGAAAACTTGCATGGTGTGTAAATAGGCGGAGCTGACCTAAATGGGCCAGGAAAAGTGATAAGAACCAAGTCATTAGCTTGATGCACATCAGCTGGCCTAAAAGTGTAGGGTTCAAATCTTCATCGAGGCAGATTTGACTTAATTAAAAAAAAAATACATTTGACTCCCATGTTGATCTTGACTAAAACTGGTACCAGGTAGTGTCCTGGGAAGTAAAGGTGGCTTGAATAATGTTGACCGCATCCTCCATTGAGGGCTGATTGGTCTATTAAAACAGTATTGGTCTTTCACCATGAACCTGATGTATCAGTGGTACTAAAAGGGCTCTTTGCTTACCTTCCTGTAAAAGGAATTCTAGATATTTTTGACTAAAAAGCTCAAAAAAATGGGGAAGCAGAAAAACGTGCACAAAACAAGACAAATAACATAACGTTTCGGCCGGGCAGCTTTTGTCAAACTACACAAAAATAACAACAAGGAGAGGAGAATATACAGCTCTCTAAGGGGCGACGTGAGCAACGTTTAAAAAAAAAATTTGATGTGGAATAAATGAAATAAAATAAAATAAAATATGTTTACCTTTCCGTAAACAGGATTCCCAGTCTGTGTTATGTTACAAGGCTTGCCATGTCTCATAGCTCAACTTTGAACTCATGATCTCCCTGTGTGGGACCCAATTTCTCGTTCTGGGGACAAAGAATAGGCCCACTGCCCTCTAACAGGCCTGTTGTAATCACTTCATCATGTAGCAGGTCCTTTGCATAATGTTGCTGTCATCAAAGTCTGCCTGAAAGAATCTTGGTCTCTTGTCATCTCCCCCACCTCGTGTACTTTTATGCCCAAGGAGTCACTTATATACTGTGCCCATCTTCATTTCAATTAATGCTTCATTCTTTTCTTGTTTATTGATTACTCCCTGTATATATCTTTATATATTTTGAAACAAACATTTTTATTTTTATGTAGATAAATACATTCCTGATACCATGCCTTCTGCTGTTTTCCCTTAAAGTCCCATCGGGCTTATAGCCACCATCACAACTACCCTTAGTTGCTCTGTCATCATGCTCTTCCCAGTTCATGTTTGTCATCTGCCTGCTTAGGGATCTCACCATCAAATCTTTGAGTTCTATTTTTGGCTTCCATGATAAGTTTTTTAGGATAGCATTGTGGTAGTTTTCCCTTGCTTTCCAAATCCATGCATGGCTTTAGACAATGCCCTCAGTCTTAGGAAACATTTTAGATTGACAGGGTGAGGGCCATGCTCTGTGATACTCTTGCTAACAGCAGAGAGCACCCCAGAGGTGTCCACTTATACAGGTGGGAGCACGGTCCCCATAGCTGCATTGGCTACACTGCAGTGTGTTAACCATCCTCTACCATGTGGAGATGCAGTTGGGGTTTTCCCTTTGCGGAGTTTTGAGACCAGAATGACATTTCCCAAAACTCTCCATTACTTTCAGAGGTCACATTTTGTAAAAGGCAACTGATTAAGGATGTGCTGATATTTGATGTGTTGGCCAGCAAAGTGCAGATATCACAACCTGGCTGTAAACCACAACACAGCGTGCCAGGTTCATTAATTTTTTTAAGGGTGAAGGAACAAGAAAAACATGTGATCTGTTTAATTTAACACTGTTTAAATCAGATGTAATATTATTTTCATCATCACTTTTAATTTTCTGTTTTGCTTCTCACTGACAACTGGGTGGCCATATATGAGACTGCAAAGCAAGAAATATACTAATAGCCCATTAATAATCTCGAGTTGCCCGTTTGACAGTTAACAGCCAAACAAACAAAAAAACAGCATTATATTCATCTATACTTTTTTGCCCCAATAAATTAAGAAAAAAGAATGTTCCAGAAGTATTGTTCACAACTGTGGACCCTCCTCCTGATATGCCAGTTTGGAGCAAAGGTTGTCTTATACAAGCCAGGTAGGTTAATTATAGGCATTTAATAGCTTGATCCAAATATGGAACTGTAAACTATATAGTTTTAAAACCAAGTTACATATTTTCAAGCCAAATGTTGTTTCACTTTTAACATATGCTATCAATGCCAAACGTGGACACTTACATCCTCCAATGAACGTAAAATTGTGACAACAGAGATGAAATGCCTTAGAAGAGCTGCAGGAGTTTCAAGGAAATCATGAAATCAGACGAATGCTAGGAATAAAGCCAGTCTTACAGGTCATCAAAGAACAACAAATGAAGTGGTTTGGACACCTACAAGAATGCCCTGGTATTATCTGCCACAGCGAGCCACACTAAAACGTTACAACAGGTATAGAGCGAGTGGAAGACCTCAGAAAAGATGGAGTAATGGCATTAGGAACAGCCTTACAGAAATGAACATCAGTCTTAATAGTGCTCTTGACAGAGCTCATCAACGAACATTACATCTCCCCCTGAAACTTCGATGAGGTGGAAGAGAAGAAGAAAAAGAAGAAGAATGAAAGTTGGAGAACCTCTAAAGACGTGGAACAAAAGTTAAAGGTGTTAAAAAAAAACATTAATGTCTGAGAAAAATGTTTTTAAAAAAATGGGATGAATTCAAAGGAGTGAAGAAATAAGAGAAATATCTGGGTAACCAGTATTATCAGCAGTTATAAGACAGAGTAGAGGTTGCTACACTGGACACATCCTGAGAAGAAACCAGCAGAGAATCACCAAACAGGCAATGAAATGGGAAGTAATAGGATTAAGGAGGCGAGGATGCCCAAAAGAAACCCTAAGAAAAACGTTGATGAGAGAGGCCAAAGCTGCTGTACTGGATTCCATCCATGATATTGAACTGATTGCACAGGATTGAGTGGAGTGGAGGATTAGACTGCTGACATATAATGAAAAGCAACAGGTTAATGAATGAATGAATGGAGTAAGTTATAAACTTCTTCAGCTTGTTACATATTGAAATACTTTATTATCATGTGTCATTCTAAGAAAGTGCCCTTTGGGAACAAGCAACGGAATCAGTAGAGAAACAAGATTGTTATCGCCTGGAGAGAATGAGACACCTGGGTGTAACCAGAGGGTCTGACCGGCTCACTACACTCAGAGGAAAGGCAAGACGGACATATAACCAGATTGTGACCGGTACCATCAGTATTGGAACTCTGCGCTGGCTGCTAAAGATGAGGACGGAGCAAACATGAGAATGCCCTGAGTGCTGTGATATCAATTCTTGACTCAACTCAACTCATGCTAAGAAACTAGGTGAAAGTACAAATTGTCATCTGACATGATCACCATTGTCACACATGACATGGTTCATGTCACAGTTGTGCCGTTTTGTCCACCTCTTCCTTTTTTTTTAAAAAACTTTAGATCAAGTTTACCAGATGTCATAAGTGTCAAGTTAGTTTCTCCTCATTCCAGTTTCTGCTTCTTCTTTGCGTTCACTGGCTGTAAACTGCTGCAGAAAATTCTGGTTGTTCACCCATGACTGGACTTTGACCTTGTTCCAAGACTTGAGTGTTGCATGCACATCCATTTTACAGGTCTACCTTATTTGTGTGCAGACTGTTGGTTCCTTGCCTCTCAGACAGGTGATATCTGACTTGGAAATGTTTATTAGATAACAACAAAACAATATAAATATTAATTTTTATTACATTAATCTCCCAGTCCTTAAGAAAGAAAATAGGGGCTTTTGAGCTGAAATGCTATAGAAAGGTTCTCCATGGACAAAGAAGAGAAGAAATACTGACATTTTAAATAGAAAGGTTCTCAGAATACCATGGACAAAGAAGAGAAGAAATACTGACATTTTAAATAGAAAGGTTCTCAGAATACCATGGACAAAGAAGAGAAGAAATACTGACATTTTAAATAGAAAGGTTCTCAGAATACCATGGACAAAGAAGAGAAGAAATACTGACATTTTAAATAGAAAGGTTCTCAGAATACCATGGACAAAGAAGAGAAGAAATACTGACATTTTAAATAGAAAGGTTCTCAGAATATCATGGAGAAAGAAGAGAAGAAATACTGACATTTCAAAAGATCTGAACATCAAGGAAGATTGGCTGATAAACAGGGCAGAATGTTAGAGGGGCTACCTACCCCAACTCTTAACCCAATTCTTAATTGTTTGTTCGTTTAATGTGGTGTGTAGATTTCATTTCTGTATAAAGTATAGTTTGTGTAAAAAAAAGTATAGTTTGTGTAAAAAGTATAGTTTGTGTAAAAATTATAGTTTGTGTAAAAAGTATAGTTTGTGTAAAAAGTATAGTTTGTGTAAAAAGTATAGTTTGTCTCATATCTTCCTGCCAGGATTTGCCGAGTTAAAAGCAAGATAAAAAGTTCTGAACAATCTGCTAGAGATATTAGTGATGTAAGTGCATTTCCTCTCCTTTCCCTTCTGCTTCTTTTTTTTTTTTCCCTCCTCCTCTGCCTCCTCCACCTTCTTCTCTGTATCCTGCTTTTTCCTTTCATCTCTCAATAAAAGTTAAATTTTAACTATCCCATGTCAAGGCATCATTTAGGCTTGTTAAATATTGGGTGGATTTTGCAGCTAAAGAAAATCTCTACATCAATTAACCTGGTTGATGCAGGTCCTTTTCATGGTTCAGATATCCTGAGCATTACCTGCCAGAACTGCCAGTTCTGATTGCCATAATAACCACTTTTGCAGTATGGACAGGGAGGTCTTTGAACCTGAGGATTTAGGGCCACATGGCTAGTACTGTGACTACAGACCCTGCAGGTTAGGATTTCATTTTTGTCCCCCCCCCCCCTCAACAGAAGAAAATTGATGATCTTACCAAGGATTCAAACCTGGGTCTTTCACACGAAAGCCCAGTGATCCTAACCATTCAGCCAGCTGCCTTTCGGCATCATCAAAGAAAGAAAACTCAAGTCTTCTGGTGAAAATATCTTCAGTTTTGTTTGTTGGGTTTCAGAGCTGCTTCGCCACCTGTGATAGTGAATTGGAACTGGGGCTCATGCAGGTCAAGGGCTAACTACATGTCTGCATGTGTTTGCTACCAGGGCCTGCTCACAATAGATAGCATCATTACCTTTGAAATTTGAGTGCTTCTCCCTATCTGGAACAAGATACAAATCCATGCAAATAGGACTTTTCACTAGAGTTCATTGCTTGTGAATGCAGAAGACAAACAACAGAACGAGAAGGAAAGAAATTTGTTGACTGATATTTGTTTGTGAATATGGTTGTTTTGTACTACTCTTGACCTGCATTTCTGTTGATTTTTACAGAGTTTGCCGTTTTTAGAGTATGAACTCCACAACCAACTCATCAACAAGCTAAAGGTATGTTGTCATGTGAAAAGGTGACTGACTACTCAATCACATTATATGCTCTTGCCTGCTAACCCAAAGGTCTTGTGTCGACAATAAATCAAAGAGGATTGTTTCTTCAAGGGCGAAAATTGCTCACAGGTCGACCCAGCCTAAAATAGGTACCAGGTTATGTAAAGTAAAGTGAAAGACCCTTTTCCACGCCTTCAGGCGTATTGGGTTTATAGGGCTAGACCTATATCTTTTAGACTAGGCGGCCCCCCGTGTGGGTTCCGGGGCCCCATTGTGGGGAAAACAAGAATAGACCCACTGCCTTCCCAAAAGCATGTCATAAGAGTTGACTAATTGGGGAGCTTCCTTTAAAGTCGGAGTGCATCTGCCGGAGAGGCAAGGAACCAACAGTCTGTATTCAAGAGAATGAGATCTGTAAAACTGATGCACATGCAACACTCAGGTTCTGGAGCAGGACTGCAGTTCAGTAGTGGACAAGCAACCAGAATTTTCCACCAGAGTGTACAGCTGGTGAACGCGAAGAAGAAGAAGACTAGGCGGCACTTGGTGGGTGATGTGGTCAGTTTCACGCTGACAGCCTTTACTTCCTAGGACTTTTCCTGCTACCCATTTGAGTCTTGGTCGACCTGGGAGCTGAGGTCATTTCTGGACCCCTGACTCTTGCGATCCACAGATGAGCATCTAGCCTCTACCCCTGGTGCATGCCACCAGGTAATGTACTGTAAATGTGTGGGGGGGGGGGCGTTGCCACATCAGCCATTGAGTGTCCAATGTTGAATTGATTTTGACCACATGAGCCACTGAGTGCTGAATGTTGAATTTTTTTTGGCCACATCGGCCACTGAGTGCTGAATATTGAAATGATTTTGATCACATCACCCAGTGCGTGCTAAATGTTGAATTGATTTTGACCTCATCAGCCACTGAGTGCCAAATGTTGAATTGATTTTGACCTCATCAGCCACTGAGTGCCAAATGTTGAATTGATTTTGACCACATTACCCACTGAGTGCCAAATGTTGAATTGATTTTGACCTCATCAGCCACTGAGTGCCAAATGTTGAATTGATTTTGACCTCATCAGCCACTGAGTGCCAAATGTTGAATTGATTTTGACCTCATCAGCCACTGAGTGCCAAATGTTGAATTGATTTTGACCACATCACCCACTGAGTGCCAAATGTTGAATTGATTTTGACCTCATCAGCCACTGAGTGCCAAATGTTGAATTGATTTTGACCACATCACCCACTGAGTGCCAAATGTTGAATTGATTTTGACCTCATCAGCCACTGAATGCCAAATGTTGAATTGATTTTGACCACATCAGCTACTGAATGCCAAATGTTGAATTGATTTTGACCTCATCAGCCACTGAATGCCAAATGTTGAATTGATTTTGACCTCATCAGCCACTGAGTGCCAAATGTTGAATTGATTTTGACCTCATCAGCTACTGAGTGCCAAATGTTGAATTGATTTTGACCACATCACTCACTGAGTGCCAAATGTTGAATTGATTTTGATCACATCACCCACTGAGTGCCAAATGTTGAATTGATTTTGACCTCATCAGCCACTGAGTGCCAAATGTTGAATTGATTTTGACCACATCACCGACTGAGTGCCAAATGTTGAATTGATTTTGACCTCATCAGCCACTGAGTGCCAAATGTTGAATTGATTTTGACCACATCAGCTACTGAGTGCCAAATTTTGAATTGATTTTGACCTCATCAGCCACTGAGTGCCAAATGTTGAATTGATTTTGACCACATCACCAACTGAGTGCCAAATGTTGAATTGATTTTGACCTCATCAGCCACTGAGTGCCAAATGTTGAATTGATTTTGACCTCATCAGCCACTGAGTGCCAAATGTTGAATTGATTTTGACCACATCAGCCACTGAGTGCCAAATGTTGAATTGATTTTGACCTCATCAGCCACTGAGTGCCAAATGTTGAATTGATTTTGACCTCATCAGCCACTGAGTGCCAAATGTTGAATTGATTTTGACCTCATCAGCCACTGAGTGCCAAATGTTGAATTGATTTTGACCTCATCAGCCACTGAGTGCCAAATGTTGAATTGATTTTGACATCATCAGCCACTGAATGCCAAATGTTGAATTGATTTTGACCTCATCACCCACTGAGTTCCAAATGTTGAATTGATTTTGACCACATCACCTTCTGAGTGCAAATGGATCCTTTTACATTTACATTGAATGTTGTGCCTAACTTCATCATATGGTCTATACCTATATTTTTTTTCTAGACCAGTCGACGTTCGGATGGTGACGTTGTCTAGATTGAAACCTGCTATTGCAAATTACATCACATCCTTCTTTTTATGTTATATTTCTTTATTTGGAAGACTTGACTGTCATGTAATTTTTGGTTTCCAGGTTCGAGGACTGAATTGCCTCTTTGGACTGCGAATTCAGATATGTATTGGAGAGAACATGCTTGTTGCTGTTGCAGTTAAGTTTCTTTACAAACTCAGTTAATTGTAGATCAAGTTTCTTTACAAACTCAGTTAATTCTAGAATAAGTTTCTTTACAAATGCAGTTAATTCTAGAATAAGTTTCTTTACAAACTCAGTTAATTCTAGAATAAGTTTCTTTACAAACTCAGTTAATTCTAGAATAAGTTTTTTTACAAGCTCAGTTAATTCTAGAATAAGTTTCTTTACAAACTCAGTTAATTCTAGAATAAGTTTCTTAACAAGCTCATTTTCTTCTGCAATAAAGTTTTCCTACTAACTCAATTAATTCTACAAACAATTTCTTTACATACGCAATTCAAAGTATTGGAACTATGCACTGGCTGCTGAAGATAAGGACGGAGCATACACGGGAATCACCCGAGTGCTGTGATGTCATTTCTTGACTCATCTCAACTCAACTCAACTCTAAATGTTAACCCTTTCACTGCTATGGACGTCTTTTCCCGATTTCCCGTACGCTGCTACGCCCGTCTTTGGACGTTATTTTTTTTCTTGACCCCCAGTGCTATGGACGTCCCAAGCCGTTTTTGGACTTTTCTTACAGATTTCTGTTACCTCGTATTTTATTGGCTGAAGGGCAATATACATTAGCTATATTTAGATTAAACTAACCCATTTACATATGATTAAAAGCACTGGCACGTGCTTTTAGGTGTGTTTAAGGTGTGTTTACTGCATTCTGCGTTATCCCGTTGCTTTGTTTACCGTGACAGCGTGGTCGGTGATCTGTGTATTTTGTGCCCTGATATATATTTGTGCTTTTGGATTATTCTACACTTAGTACAAAATGGCAAGAAAACTTGTTAAAGTTGATGAAGAATCGATGGAGTTTCTGTCAAGAAGTGATAGAGAAGATGACTTTGAAATGCGTACGTCTGACAGTGAACAAAAAGATTTGACTAGGCTATCAGTATCGACTGCTGAAACCGGCGTGTCCAAAAAAAGCTGTTTGCCTGTCCGACGTCCTCATCGTCGGAATCAGAGAGCAGCGACAATGAAGCGCCATCAAAACCGCAATAAATTGATCAGTTATCTTGATGAACCGATGATTTGAAACCAGTAGTGCATAATTTTGATGACTCCAGCTCTATCTGTATTTCTGCTACTGTAAATTCAAACAGTCAAGTCACTAAAAATTCTCGTCTTACCCGATGGACAGACACAGATTCGGACGAACTTTTTTTTTTTTTTCTCTGTCTGTCTGCTAATGCTTAGAACAAAGAAACTCAAAATAGAGTACTTGAGCAAAGACTGTTTGCTAAAAAACTCCCGTGAAATAATGTCGGGGGACATATTTGTAACCATTGTTGAGAATCTCAAACATTTCTCAGACAACAGTGCTCATGCAGGCGGCGACAGACTACAAGCTTAGACACGTTATAATTAGTCTGCGCACATCATTCATTATTATCATTCACATACCGCGATTCGTCAAGCGGTAGCATAGTGTAGTTGGTATCACGTTTGCCTTAGAATCAGAGGGTCGTGTGTTCAACCCCCGAAGTTTTTTTTTTTATTTTTTTTTTTTTAATTGTAAATTTTCCTTTCAGTTCCTGCTACTTTCAGCAACGGACGACTCAAGTATTATTATTAATATTTTTGTATTATTTTGGTATGTAATAACATGGTGACTACAAATAACTATGATTAATATGGCAGCCGTGGTAGGTTCGTCAATCAAATTCTGGGATACGGACTGGGAACAGCTCTTCCCATTAATCCCCCCCCCCTCCCCCCAGAAGGGTGATAGCTCCGTTAGTCAAGTTTGTGGGGAACATCATGCCTCTGACTTGTCACCACTAGGACCAACCACACACCTCCCCAGGGTAAAAAATTTTTAGGTGTACAAAATATAGCCCTCACCGCCGACGCATCTTTTGCGTTTGGAGGATTGAAAAGTATTGCGCACAGCAGAGACTTTTTTTTTCACATTGCTTAGCACAGGGGAGACAACTATTTCCGGGAACGTAGCAGCGAAAGGGTTAATGTACATTTTTTGTCAGCCCTTATCACTTGTAAGATGAGATGCCCGAGAGAAACTGCCAACCTAATCATCCGAGAAAGAGTGAATAAGGATACTATCAGACAGATAGTGTGAACAACACCTTGTACTAGATTCATCAAGAGACAGCAGATCAAGGGATTTGGCATTCTCGTTGGAATGGAGCAACATCAAATACCATCACAGGCACTACATTTTAGAAGATCAGCTACAAGAACAAGAGGACATCCACCCAAAGCATGGATTGACAACATTAAAGACACATTGCACCTTCACAGTATGATTATAGCCACTGCCAGCCAGCATGCATTAGATTGCAAACATGATAGTTAATGGCAGAAGTGTTTTATGATGATGACAATGTTAATTATCTACAGAGTCTAGACATCCTGGACAACGAAGACAAATGTTTGTTAAATTTAAATGTACCATTGATGTATTTGCTTGTTCTCAGACAGCAACTGGAGCTTTTCTGGGACCATTACCGGCACCTCCTTTGCCAGAAATATCCACAGAGGTATGTCTGTCTTTTGTTTGTGAATGTGTCTGTCTCTATGTTTAAATCTCTCTCTGTTTAAGTGTGTGTCTCTCTTTCTGTTTACTAGTCTCTACCTATTTAACAGACTGTCTATTGAAGTCTTTTTCTGTTGAACAGTCAATCTCTGTTTAAGTCTTTCTCTGTTTGACAGTCACACTCTGTTTAATATAACAAATAACAATATGCGTCTCTTCTCCACTTGATGGTATTGAACATAATAAACACTTTGCAGCAGTAGGCACATGCTTTAGCCACTGTTGTAATCAGTTACCTGTTTCAGGTGGCCACAGCAAATGAAAGCCAAGACTTGATCAACCTGCAGGCAAGGCTCACAAAGGTGGCGCAGACCCACAGGGAGAAGCTGGGGAAAGAGATTCGGGTAGGTTTGTACGTGCTGTCATGCTTCTTATGGAGTTTGTTTATGTGTTTGTGTATGTATGACATAGGTGGTTAGATGCTTTATTGGAGAAAAAATTGTCACATTCAACCAGCATTCCCGAATGGGGAGCTTTAGGTTATAATTGTGACTAGTTTATGTGCACCTTATAACATGGCTTGGCAATGTACGCCACCAAGAGCCCTAAAAAGGACTCCTGCAGTGTTGATGTGATCCAAGGAGACAGACCCCAATACTGTTCCGACTGGTGATGAAGTTGTCTACCAGTGAGCCAATGGGCAACCTGGGAGCCGACCTGTGGTATGTGTGAGATTCTATTTATGTGTATTTAAAAACCTCAGAGACTGAATTTATGTGTATTCATGAATGTTTCAGTGTGTTGTATGTATTTTTGTGTATGTATATGTCATTTATGTATGTGTTGTATGTATATGTGTGTGTGCATGCAGGTGTATATGTATGTGTGTATACATGTATGAATGGGTAGGTTTGTGTGTGTTTGTAATATATATGTATATGTGAATGTATGCATTTACCATCCATGAGTTTGTGTATTTTACTTGATAGTCCTATTATGTACGTATATTGTTATATGAGCATAACATTTTAAAGATAAATACAATTGTTGTATGGAAGATGAGTGTTTGGGAGGACCTTATGTAATGGACCTGCCTGCCCAGTGTGTAACCCTTTCACACACACAAAAAAAAGCTTGTTCATTTATTATAATCCCTCCAGGTATTCATATTTAATCTTTGTACTGCTCATGATATAATCCCCCCTCTCTTCATAGTCATTCTTTGTTCTGCTCATGTTTATGTTATGATCCCCATCTGTTCATAGTCTTTGTTCTGCTCATGTTTATGTTATAATCCCCATCTGTTCATAGTCAGTCTTTGTTCTGCTCATGTTTATGTTATAATCCCCATCTGTTCATAGACAGTCTTTGTTCTGCTCATGTTTATGATCCCCAGCAGGTATTCATAATCTTTGTTCTCTCTCCCCCCCCCCCCTTCCCCACCCCACTCCCTCCAAGGCTCTATGGTAGCAAGTGATAATGTTGAGGCACAAATAGATCATTATGGTCTGGAGAGATTGGTACAGCTGGGAGTGACCAGGGGAACCTGGTCGACATTGTACACTCAGAAAAAAAATGGCAAGATGGATTAAAAAAAATCAAACTGTTACTTACACCATTAAAACTATCCGCTAGCTGTTGAAGATGAGGATGGGATGTCCCGAATGCTGTGGTATCAGTTCTTAGCTCAGCATGCAGCACTCAACACTGTGAATTACCGCCCAGGTATCTATTTAAAATAACATTATTTCTGAAATCTTTCAGGACCACTACCCAGAAGATAACCTTGCTAATACTCTTGCTGGGGATGAATCAGCAGATGATGAGGACGATGGTAACTTGTTATTGCTTGAGTTGGCCAAAGAGAAGAACACCTTTGTCTTGGTGGTTAGTAAACCCTGAATCTTTCATTGATAAGATTTTCTCCTCTACCCTAAGATGCAGGACTTTTTGTAATGTTCTGGCTTTACGCATGGCACCTTTGTAAGACACTTTAGGGTGAGTACCAGCACCTTTGTAAGACTTGTAAGACACTTTAGGGTGAGTACTGGCACCTTTGTAAGACACTTTAGGGTGAGTACCGGCACCTTTATAAAGCACTTTAAGGTGAGTACTGGCACCTTTGTAAGACACTTTAGGGTGAGTACCAGCATCTTTGTAAGACACTTTAGGGTGAGTACCGGCACCTTTGTAAAGCACTTTAAGGTGAGTACTGGCACCTTTGTAAGACACTCTAGGGTGAGTACTGGCACCTTTGTAAGACACTTTAGGGTGAGTACTGGCACCTTTGTAAAGCACTTTAAGGTGAGTACTGGCACCTTTGTAAGACACTCTAGGGTGAGTACTGGCACCTTTGTAAGACACTTTAGGGTGAGTACCGGCACCTTTGTAAGACACTTTAAGGTGAGTACTGGCACCTTTGTAAGACACTCTAGGGTGAGTACTGGCACCTTTGTAAGACACTTTAAGGTGAGTACTGGCACCTTTGTAAGACACTTTGGGGTGAGTACCGGCACCTTTGTAAGACACTTTGGGGTGTGTACCGGCACCTTTGTAAGACACTTTAGAGTGAGCACTGGCACCTTTGTAAAGCACTTTAGGGTGAGTACTGGCACCTTTTGTTCTGGGGAAGGAGGGGGAGCCCTGCTGAGACATATAAATATAGCTCTGGACTGTATTAACTCTTTCAGTGCCAGAAGACTTGGCAGCAGACTTAAAGTGGGCACAGTTATGAATACTTAACATGGAGGTTTCGGCCATTGGGTGGCCAGACTTCTTTAACATGTTGTAACCACATTTAAAATGTACTGCTAACCAGATTTAAACATGAGAGAACGCATTATTCACTGGCTGTGTCTCAGGAAAGGGATTAGATACTATGCGTTGTTGGAAACTAAAAGAGTTAAAGTAGTTATTTGGGGGAGGAGAGGGGGGTCTAGTCCTGGTTTTCTGATGCAGTTTTCACATTTCTGGACTGGGAGCCCAAAGGTTCCATCTTAGATGTGCACACAGAACTCAAGTTCTGAAGTAAGATTCATCAAAGTCCAGAAGTGGAAGAGCAACTGGAACTTTCTGCCGGCGTTTGCAGCCAGTGAGCGCTAAAAAGATGAAGAATATAATTGTTCATTTGTGTCATATGTTGATAAAGGCTTTCTAGCCAAGATTGTTAATTATCATTTGTGATTGAGGTATGGGAATCAAATATTCTAAAATATCTGGACATAGGTGGACGACCTGAAGGATGACACCGTGTCCATCATACTGCATGACACCAGCCTACCAGAAGGGTTTGAGATTTGTAACACACAGGTTCCACCTGGGATCCCAGCAGACAGAATCACAGCCAACATGCAGGTGTGTGGACTTGAGTCATTACCTGTGCTACCTACTGCTGATCACTGGGTCTACCTTATTTATGTTTACTTCGTCATTCTTCTTTTGTCCTACTGTTTATGCTGTACACAGTCACAAAGAGGAGTTATATGTAGTTTCCTGTTTTTTGTGGTGAATTGATTCATGTCAAGGCAGATGTGGTCAAGGCCCTTTGGGAACAAGTAACGCAATCAGTATAGAAACAAGATTACTATGGCCTGGAGAGAATGAGGCACCTGGGTGTAACCAGAGGGTCTGGCCGGCTGACAACACTCAGAGGAAATGCAAAACGGACATATAACCAGATTGTGACCGGTACCATCAGTATTGGAACTCTGTGCTGGGTACTGAAGGTAAGGACGAAGCATGCATGGGAATGCCGCGAGTGCTGTGATGTCAGTTCTTGACTCAACTCAACTCCTGTCTTTTGTCCTACTGTTTATGTCGTAAAGATTCACAGAGAGGAGTTAGATGTAGTTTCCTGTCTTTTGCCAGTTGCATAGTTTGTGTTAATATCATTTTATAACTCTGTTATGTTTCTCTTACTCCCTCTACCCATCTCTTTCTAGGTGAGCCTCTTGACTTGTCTTCTGCATTTATGTTTAATACCAGTGTGCTATTTGCTATGGGAAGAAAGTAAAACAAGAAAGTCAGGCATTTAGTTCAACTACTTCTGGCATAAAATAGCAGTTGTCACAGTTGTGTGCCTGGCATAACAGAGTGCTCATGCATTGATAGCAACAGACGCAATAAGCATACCTAAAAAGATCCAAACTTGCAAACTCGGACTAGAACGGGTTGACAGCATCCATAAGTCACGCTTCAAGAAACTGTGCTGGCTGTACACACCGGAACACAGTTGTGTGAAAGGAAATGAAAGAGCCGACATATCGGCCGTGTGTGCAGTGGTTGCTGGAGGAAGAAGTATGGACAGGGCAGACATAATGAATGCACTGCATCACAGAGATATTGAGACAAGGGAGTGGGAGATGTTAAACTACTCTTTTGGAATTGGGTAATGAATAAGGACAAGCAAGAAGAAACCAGTTGTGAGGAGCATGTGTGCACACACACGCAAGCAAGCAAGCAGAGACACATGCACACGTGCCTGCACACACACATGCACGCACATGCACACACACTTATATAAATACACACACACACATGCACACACACATGTGCACACACATATACACACACACACATGCACACACACTCATATATACACACACATGCACACACACATACACACATGTGCACACACACAGACATGTACACACACACATGTACATACACACATGCGCAACACACATACACGCACACATACACAAACACATGCGCAACACACATACATGCACACATACACAAACACATGCGCAACACACATACACGCACACATACACAAACACATGCGCAACACACATACACGCACACATACACAAACACATGCGCAACACACATACATGCACACATACACAAACACATGCGCAACACACATACATGCACACATACACAAACACACGCGCAACACACATACATGCAAAGAAAATATGCCATGTAACTCCTGCTGAAGACATTGAGAATTAGGACACTAAGATGTCTGCTGCATCGGTGGGACGAGCACAAATAGTTCAGACCAATGTGTTAGGATATTGATACAGATTAGCAAGTATGTTTGATTGCCTATTCTTCGTGTTCATTCAACTGTTGAGGTCTAATCATCTTGTAACACTGTGAATGTCAGGTAGCATGCTTTTTGTCTGTGCCCAAGGTGGTTTGTGTTGTGACCTACATGTTCAGCAAATGTTGGTGGTGCAGTTGCCACAAAATTAGCAATGCTTTATGCAATAATGTATCTACAACTGCTGGTTGTTGTGCTGTCCCGTTCTGGTAGTCAGGTAATCGCAGTTCTAACTTCATAACAAACTGGTCACTTCATAGTTGCTCTGTTCCTGTGCCAAAGTATAGAGTGGTCATCAATATCCCGTGTGGGGAAAATGGACACAGACTGTAGTCTCAGAAAATCCAATTGCGTTTACTCGCATTGAAAGCACAAGGCAGCTGTCAGAAGTGCTGACACAAACAGTTCGATACCATAAATGCAGTTCATCATTGATAGAAGCGGCACTTAGAACAGGTCAGTATTTGCACCCATGATTAATCACATAATGTACTAGTAGTTCACAACACAAACTACGCTGGAAATGGTTGAAAAGCATTCTAAATTAAATCTCCAGCTTGATGTCGTGGCATGCACGCAGCTCAGTAAATACAGTTCTAGTAGTAGACTGTTGGTGTTGGCACTGACCTTATGCATGTAATGCACAATCGGCTCACCCACAATGTGTTCTGAGGCCCCCAAAAATGAATAAACCCACATTACCCCTAACTAGTGTGTGGTAAATGATGACTATAAGTTTGCAAAAATTAGATATATATATATTAGCTGAGAGGTGCAGATACTTCAGCATAGATATACAATATGCCAGCTGCCTTTTTAGAGCAAATATAGAAGATGAAGAGGGAAAAAACAGCTTGACTGTAGTTACTGGTATCATTTCCATCACTGTACCATTTTTGACATCATTGTTCTGTAGCAGAGTGTTCATATTCTTATAGGTTGAACTGAAGATGGTAGATAGTAGCAAGAATACAAGTTATTGTTGTTTTTAACATTTCTTTTCGCAGATGTTCACACAGATTGTGAAGGCAAGATACCAGCCAACCTCAGGGTCTAGTCTGGATTTTTCTGATCTCTTTAATGTCATCCTTAGGGTAAGTTATTTCTTTCCTACTGCATTTCTAATGTCAGACTGTTTGTGTTAGCACTTCTGATGGCCACCGTATGCTTTTAATGCGTGTGTATGCTAGTGCATATGCTGAGACAGCAGTCTGTCGATCTTTCCACAAGGGACTGTGACGAACATTCTGTGTTTTTTTCGTTGGCACAGGAGCGGTGTCACTGTAGGGTGACCCGTTTGCTATGAAGCTGAAACTAAGATTACCAGGATTACCAAGATTTCTTCCCTTCGTTGTCTTCACATTGTAGTGGTAGAGTAACACCTGTGTTACTCCATGACTTTACCTTGTAGTTGAGTTCAGAAAATAGATAGCATCACAGCAAGCACTCAGGACAACCTATGAACCTTTCATTCCGATCTTCAGGGGCTATGTGGTCTCAAGGTATGATGTCCGCCTCAAGTGCTAGAGGCCCCGGTGAATGCTGGGATTTTTCTGTTTGCGTAGACTAGTAATTTCTCCTGGTCTCTGGGTAGTGATATCGGGCACCCATGTGTATTGTTGCGCAAGTAAAAAAAAATCCCTTTTTAGTTGGAAATCGAAAAGAGTAGCCTAATGGCGCTGCTCGTGCAAAATTTGGACCTAATAATCTACCTAAAATATTTCAGGATCCTCGCCGGTGCTACGGAGCCCGTGCACTGTGCTGAGCTACTTCCGACTCAGACTTGAGTTAGAAGTAGAACAGAGTACCTATGGGTTACTACCTGTATGCCATGATGTTGATCCGTTGTTCAAACCTCAAACCTCCCGATCTTCAGCCGCCAGTGAAGATTTCCAGTTTTGATGGTATCAGTAAAGGTCTGAATGAATGTGTGTCACACCTTTCCTCTGAGTGTGTGTGTGTGTGTATGTGTTGGCCAGCTTCCCTGGCCACTCCCATATGCACCGCTCTGTTTAAGATCGACTTCATCGCACCAGGTTTGATCCCATATGGCTTCTCTCTCTGCAGAACGACTAACAGCCTGCCAAGAACATCACACAGGGCATGAACTCTATAGCAGTTCCAGCAACGATCCCCAGGAATCTTTGTAAAAATTGCACTGATGAACCGAATAACATTGAAATGAACCCATGACTTTGATATTGTGAGGTAAACGGCTTGACCACTTCACGGAGGACCCCTTCCCTTGTGTGTATCTCAACTGGTTACATGTTCCTATTTCAGAGGGTGTTTTTCAAGCTGAGAGACTTGAGGCCCTGTTGCCTGGCCAACATAAGCTTCAACGTGGACTTACCTGACGAGGATGAGATCAATGTAAGTTCTCCCGTCGTTCTCATGGTTGAGGCTAAAGTTCTTCTTCTTCGCGTTCACCAGCTGTAAACTCTGGCGGAAATTTCTGGTTGTTCATCCACTTCAGGACTGCAGTCCTGTTCCAGAACCTGAGTGTTGTGTGCACATCCATTATACAGGTCTCGTTCATTTGTATGCAGAACTGCTGGTTCCTTGCCTCTCAGGCAGATGCACTCCGACTTTGAAAGAAGCTCCCAATTAGTTGACTCTTATGACATGCTTTTAGGTAGGCAGGGGGTCTATTCTTGTTTTCGCTATAATAGGGCCCCAGAACCCACTTGGGGGAAGGGGGGTATGGGGGTCGGGGGTGGGAGGTTGGTAAAGTAAAAAATATAAAGCAAAGGATTCTTTTTTCACCGGTGTGGCAAGGGGCATGTGATGCCTGGCTTTTGAATTTTATGAACCAGTTTGTTGGGTGTTATAGACCAGTTTGTTGGATGATGTGATCAGCATCACGCAAGCTGCCTCTCCCCCCCCCCCCCCACCCCCCTTTTCCCCATGGACATTACCTGATACCCATTTTAGCCTGGGTCGACATGGGAGCCAAGACAAATTTAAAAAAAAAGCCAGCTGAGTGTGGATTAAAACCTAACCCTTTTCGCCCGGTAACCTAAACAACAGCGGGTCATGATCCTGTTTCCAGAAATAAAAAATTTCACACAGGTCACTAATAAATTTGTTAACAATATCTTCGTCAACTTTTTTCTTCAAAATATATAAAGATATATGAAGGTAACAATCAATAAACACAAAAAGGCTGAAGCATTCAATGAAATACACTTGCCAGGGCCTTAAAGAAACAGTCCATCAGATACATTAGACTATATGCTTCCATGATTCAATCCTGCCAGTTCAACAACAACAAAAGTTCTGTATCCAGCTCTTTCAGGGTCTGCCTCTTCTCCTTTTCCTCACTACAGAGCTCTATTAATTCTTTGAGTCCCAGGGGGTTTAGCATCACAGGCCCAAAGGGTAGTCAAGAGAGACGTAAAATCTGCGCAACTTGCGTTCATTGGGCTTCTAGGTAGGAACCTATGAACGTATGATGCATTTTTTGGGACTCAAAGAGTTAACCCATCACTGTATATGAATTGCAGGTAGCTGTAACAGGCTGCTGTCTAGGCCTGCAAGATGGGTTAAATCAGACTGTTTCTGCACCGATCAGTGTCATCAAACACCAATCTCAGACTAGTGAGACAAGTAAGCCGTGTAAGTTATAGAAGTATATTATATTTGTATTATATTGTATTACAATATATTTATTCTATATGTATATTATATTATTATATGGCTAAATAGCTTTCACATGTGATGCCTAAGAAGAATACTTGTTATTAAGTGGCAGGACAGGATCACAAACATTCAGGTACGGGAAAGAGCAGGAATTACAACAGTTTTCTTACTGCTCAGTCTATGGCTGGGTCAGACCTGCAGAATGGAGGATGGCTGAGTCCCTAAGGTCATCCTTTATAGTGAATTAATGATGGGTAGAAGTCCACGAGGCCAACCTCTCCTGTGATATAAAAATGTGTGCAAACGGGACATGAAGATACATGTACAGAGGTGGACTAGTGGGAAAACACCATGGACAGTGTTGTGTGGAGTGGGCACTTCAGGAAGGGATTGAGAATGAAGGAAGAAATGATTGCAGAAAGAATGAGAGCTGAGCCTCTGAGATAACACACGCTAAAAAGACAAATGTGGACAACAACGGTCCTAAAATCCTCTGCTCTTCTTGTGAAAAAGTTGTCTTAATGCGGGCGGGTCTTGCAAGTCACACTCGCCATCGCCATGGGCTGTGAGTCCCAATATAACGCTGTCATCTAGAAAGACACAAAGGTGCCAGTAATTATATTATGTTGGATTATTTTATGTTATGCTATTTTAAATTATATTATTTTGTTATTTTACATTATATTGCATTATATTTTTATACTGTCATCCTGTTCTTTTTCGCGTTCACTGGCAGAGAGTTCTGGTTTGTCATCTGCTTTTGGACTTTGTAAAGGTTTAAGAACTGCTTCCAAAGACGTTAAAAATACGTAAAGTCATAGAATTTCTCAATGCTGAAGGAAAGACTCCAATTTGCATCCACAAACATTTAATAAAAAATGTTTATGGAGATTCTACAGTAGATGTAAACTGTCCGACGCCGGGTACATCGTTATGACAGACCTGAAGTCTTCAGTGGCTGATGCAAAGTGGACCGGCCTTCAGTCTGTCGCAGTTTCTCCCACACAGCATTCATTGAGATGATGACATCATTTATGCTGACCATCTGGTAACACTAGATGAATGGATGGTCTGGACACCTCTGTTACTTAAGGACCAATCATTAACCCCCCATGGGGATACAGTATGGTCAATGGAAGTTCTTTTTTCTGCCTTTCTTACCCCCAATGGAGCATAAACCCTCAACCAACACACACCTCCATTCTATCCTTTGCTATCGCATGCAGCTCTCCCCATGTCCTCCCCATCATTTTCAACTTCTCTGTCTGGCTTCCTTCTACATGTTTTTTTGTTGTGTCTTTTTTTCTATGCCCCTGTGGGTTCCAGTGAAAGACATTCTAGTTATATTGTTCTCAGGTTTTCTCAATGTATGTTCTATCCAACACCAGCATCTTTCCTTCACCTCTTAGTCCACTGGAACCAGTGGAAGTTACATGGCTAATATTTGCTCTGTGCTTATCCTAGGCTCAGCTCCTCCAGCCATCAACAGTCAGACGGATGACATGATGTTTCTCATGGAAGGGGTGATGACAGAGCAGCACAGCCGCAGTCGAGTCAGTAGCACAGCTGCCCAGTTGGGAATACGTAAGTGCAAAATGTGTGTTTGTCCCAGGCTGAGTTGATGGCTTAGAGCAGTAGTTCCTGATTAGATAAGACACGCAGGCACCTTTTCTTTTGTTAATTTTTCCCCCTACTTTTTGATAGTCAAATTTTTTTTTTTTGGGGGGGGGGGGGGGGATCTATATTACAGCTGCATATCCCAGGTTGACCCAGCCCTGAGTGGGTACGGGGTGCAGTCCCGGGAAGTAAAGGCAGCCGGCGTGATGCTGACCACATCAGCCATCTTGTGCCGATTGGTCTATAAAAATATAGGTCTAGCCCTATATGTCCTATAAGCCTAAAGGCGTGGAAAAGGGTCCTTTACTTTTTTTTACTTACAATTGCATATACAAGTGTTCAGGTTTGTGTGTGTATGTTTCTGCATGCCTGCGTCCCCCCAAATGATAGATATCACAGACCTCTTAAATGTGTTCTATGGACCACTGGCTTAGAGATAGCTGGTAGAAGGAATGGATGGTTGGGTGGACAGATGGATGAATGGTGTGATGGATGGTTGGTTAGTAGGATGGATGGTTGGTGTGATGGATGGTTCGTGTGATGGATGGTTGGTTAGTAGGATGGATGTTTGGTGTGATGGATGGTTGGTTAGTAGGATGAATGGTTGGTGTGATGGATGGTTGATTAGAAGGGTGGATGGTTCTAGTGATGGATGGTTTGTGTGATAGATGGTTGGTTAGTAGGATGGATGGTTGGTTAGTAGGATGGATGGTTGGTGTGATGGATGGTTGGTTAGTAGGATGGATGGTTGGTTAGTAGGATGGATGGTTGGTGTGATGGATGGTTGATTAGAAGGGTGGATGGTTCTAGTGATGGATGGTTTGTGTTATAGATGGTTGGTTAGTAGGATGGATGGTTGGTTAGTAGGATGGATGGTTGGTGTGATGGATGGTTCTTGTGATAGATGGTTGGTTAGTAAGATGGATGGTTGGTATGATGGATGGTTCGTGTGATGGATGGTTGGTTAGTAGGGTGTATGGTTCGTGTGATGGATGGTTGGTTAGTAGGATGGATGGTTGGTGTGATGGATGGTTCGTGTGATGGATGGTTGGTTAGTAGGGTGGATGGTTGGTGTGATGGATGGTTCGTGTGATGGATGGTTGATTAGTAGGATGGATGGTTGGTGTGATGGATGGTTATTTAGTAGGATGGATGGTTGGTGTGATGGATGGATGGTTAGTAGGATGGATGGTTGGTGTGATGGATGGTTGGTTAGTAGTATAGATGATTGGTGTGATGAATGATTGGTTAGTAGGATGGATGGATGGTATGATGAATGGTTGGTGTGATGGATGGTTCGTGTGATGGATGGTTGGTTAGTAGGGTGGATGGTTGGTGTGATGGATGGTTCGTGTGATGGATGGTTGGTTAGTAGGGTGGATGGTTGGTGTGATGGATGGTTCGTGTGATGGATGGTTGGTTAGTAGGGTGGATGGTTGGTGTGATGGATGGTTCATGTAATGGATGGTTGGTTAGTAGGGTGGATGGTTGGTTAGTAGGATGGATGGTTGGTGTGATGGATGGTTCTTGTGATAGATGGTTGGTTAGTAGGATGGATGGTTCGTGTGATGGATGGTTGGTTAGTAGGTTGGATGGTTGGTGTGATGGATGGGTCGTGTGATGGATGGTTGGTTAGTAGGATGGATGTTTGGTGTGATGGATGGTTCGTGTGATATGGTTGGTTAGTAGGATGGATGGTTGCTGTGATGGATGGTTGGTGTGATGGATGGTTGGTTAGTAGGGTGTATGGTTCGTGTGATGGATGGTTGGTTAGTAGGATGGATGGTTGGTGTGATGGATGGTTCGTGTGATGGATGGTTGGTTAGTAGGGTGGATGGTTGGTGTGATGGATGGTTCATGTGATGGATGGTTGGTTAGTAGGATGGATGGTTGGTGTGTTGGATGGTTATTTAGTAGGATGGATGGTTGGTGTGATGGATGGATGGTTAGTAGGATGGATGGTTGGTGTGATGGATGGTTGGTTAGTAGGATGAATGGTTGGTGTGATGGATGGTTGGTTAGTAGTATAGATGATTGGTGTGATGAATGATTGGTTAGTAGGATGGATGGATGGTATGATGAATGGTTGGTGTGATGGATGGTTCGTGTGATGGATGGTTGGTTAGTAGGGTGGATGGTTGGTGTGATGGATGGTTCGTGTGATGGATGGTTGGTTAGTAGGCTGGATGGTTGGTGTGATGGATGGTTCATGTAATGGATGGTTGGTTAGTAGGGTGGATGGTTGGTTAGTAGGATGGATGGTTGGTGTGATGGATGGTTCTTGTGATAGATGGTTGGTTAGTAGGATGGATGGTTCGTGTGATGGATGGTTGGTTAGTAGGTTGGATGGTTGGTGTGATGGATGGGTCATGTGATGGATGGTTGGTTAGTAGGATGGATGGTTGGTGTGATGGATGGTTCGTGTGATATGGTTGGTTAGTAGGATGGATGGTTGGTGTGATAGATGGTTCTTGTGATGGATGGTTGGTTAGTAGGGTGGATGGTTGGTGTGATGGATGGTTCGTGTGATGGATGGTGGGTTAGTAGGGTGGATGGTTGGTGTGATGGATGGTTGGTTAGTAGGATGAATGGTTGGTGTGATGGATGGTTATTTAGTAGGATGGATGGTTGGTGTGATGGATGGATGGTTAGTAGGATGGATGGTTGGTGTGATGGATGGTTGGTTAGTAGTATGGATGATTGGTGTGATGAATGATTGGTTAGTAGGATGGATGGATGGTATGATGAATGGTTGGTGTAATGGATGGTTCATGTGATGGATGGATGGTTGGTTAGTAGGGTGGAGGGTTGGTGTGATGGATGGTTCGTGTGATGGATGGTTGGTTAGTAGGGTGGATGGTTGGTGTGATGGATGGTTCATGTAATGGATGGTTGGTTAGTAGGATGGATGGTTGGTGTGATGGATGGTTCTTGTGATAGATGGTTGGTTAGTAGGATGGATGGTTCGTGTGATGGATGGTTGGTTAGTAGGTTAAAAGGTTAGTGTGATGGATGGTTGGTTAGTAGGATGGATGCTTGGTGTGATGGATGGTTCGTGTGATATTGTTGGTTAGTAGGATGGATGGTTGGTGTGATGGGTGGTTCGTGTGATGGATGGTTGGTTAGTAGGGTGGATGGTTGGTGTGATGGATGGTTCATGTGATGGATGGTTGGTTAGTAGGGTGGATGGTTGGTGTGATGGATGGTTGGTGTGATGGATGGTTGGTTAGTAGGATGGATGGTTGGTGTGATGGATGGTTGGTTAGTAGGATGGATGGTTGGTGTGATGGATGGTTGGTTAGTAGGATGGATGGTTGGTGTGATGGATGAGTAGTTGATTGGTTAAATGGTTGGTTGTTAAATTGTTGGTTGGCTGTTCAGTTAGGGAAGATGTCTTGAAAGCAATAAACGCACTAGGAAAAGCAATCCCTTGCATCAGGAAAAAAAAAATTTAACTAAAAGACAAGTCTACATTCGTTGGTCAGATTGTGAGAGAAAGGAAAACTGGAGTACACCGTGACAGCAGGAAAATTATAAGGAAAAAGTGTCAAAAGGAGAGAAAGAGAAGAATTTGGACAGTATTACATAGTGCAATAGAAGAGCATCTGTATAGCGGTAATTGAATGTACACATGAAAGAAGGCTGAATAAACGTAACTGCTATTGTCACATGACATGAGCTGTAAGTAGAAGCAGAAGAATAATTTCATCTTCTGCATTCACCCTCAAATAAGCAGCTATCATGTTCTGTTGTGGTTTACAGCTAGGCTGTGATATCCCTGCTTTTTGCCCCAGTATGCCCTGTTCAGGAGACCTCTGGTTAGTTACATTCTGCAGTACGCTTGTAAGGGAACAGAGTGGGTCTGTTCCAGTTAATGGAGTACTGGAACCCGCACCGGGAATATTCTGTTCAGTCTTTCTGAGTTATAATTATGACATTAGTACATATTAACATGTTGACCCAACCTTGTGTGGGTACCAGGTATAGTCCTGGGAAATAAAGGCAGTCAGCAGGGTGTTGACCACATCACCCACCGAGTGCTGATTGGTCTATAAAATATAGGTCTAGCCCTATATGCCCAGTTAGCCTGAAGCTGTGGAAAAGGGTACTTTATTTTACCTTTACATATTGACCCACTGATGACACAAGATAAAAGATAACAGTTAACATTTCTTTATATTGCAGCACAGAAACATTTGAAAGACAGCAGCAAATCAAGAGGGGCTGTAAGTTCATGGGATGACAGATTTGCCAATACTTAAAAGCATGTTTAAACACTTCCTGCTTTCTGACTTAGACAGTACATTTTAGTTAGCCGTGTGTGCATTAGGTAATCAGGTTATCACAGTTCCAGCTTCATAGTAAACCGGTCTCTGCTCCTTGAACACAGCACTCAATGTCCATAGCCGTACATTGTAAAAAGAGTTGACCCAGACTGCGGTTTCAGCAAAGCCAATAGCATACACACTCATTAAACGCATAAGGCAGCCACCACAAATGCTAACAAATACAGTCCGACACTAGAAAGGCAGTTCATCGTTGATGAAAGCAGCTATGACTACAGATCAGTAGTTGCACATGCAGTTAATTGTGTGAGGCACCACCAGTTCTTTAGCAACATCTGCTCACCATTGTATGTCTGTTAACTTTAGTTTGATAACACATTGCATCTTCCAAGAACTTGTGTACTATCCATGAAGATCTAAGATCTGCCAGATGTTTAAATGTATAGAGGGCATGAAGATATTACATCTCTCAGGTGTTTACTCATACATAGAGCATGAAGATATTACATCTATCGAGTGTTGACCTGTACATAGGGCATGAAGATATTTTATCTCTCAGGTGTTTACCTGTATACAAGGCATGAAGATATAACATCTCTCAGGTGTTTACCTGTATACAGTTCATGAAGATATAACATCTCTCAGGTGTTTACCTGTATACAGTTCATGAAGATGTTTTATCTCTCAGGTGTTTACCTGTATAGAGGGCATAAAGATATAACATCTCCCAGATGTTTACCTGTATACAGGACATGAGAATACTTAATTTATCAGGTGTTTACCAGTTGAAGGATATTTCACCACTCATATATTTCCCTATATTCGTGGCATGAAAACATGAAAACATTACTTAGTCAGTTAGTCGTTACGGTTCCGACGTCACAGCAGACGAGCTTGGCCTATAAATGCTCAACCTCCTATGCCAGTGATTCCAGTCACAAACTGAGTCAGATACACTGAATACTTCAAGTGAATGCCGTAACCATACAAAGTGTCCTCAGTCAGCAAAACACACACGATTTGATCTGGCAAACCATAAGGTGCTTGCCTCTTTAAACACACTGCGAGACCAGGCGTCAGCGCTGAAAATCAACTTCATTCGACAAATAGCTGGGCGAGTAGATTAAAACTATTCCTGACCATTCTCCACATGTCCTCGGCCAAGTTGCAGCCACGGCCAGCAAATAAATAGCAACTATAGCACACACCTTATCCCAGGAACACAAAGAAAAATACATCACCCATCATTGCAATTATGTACGAATCTGGAACTCAGTCAATAACCGATAATCACAGCTCATAGTGCCCCCAGGAGCACTAAACACAGTAGCTCCGGCTGCAAACCAGACTTCTACAATCTTGTAACATCGAAACTGGAAGAAAAACGGTGACGAGAACGGTCAACATAAGCCAAAATTTCAACCGTTATCCATTCCCTATCAATGTCGGAACCGGAAGTCAAAAAATGATGTTTACCTGTATACAAAAGTGTGTATACATTACTTCATCTGCCTGCTGTTTACATATTTTACACATTATGCTTTTTAAATGTAGAAGACTAGAGAAAACCAAGACTAACTGTATGAGCAAGTTATGGATCTGCAATGAAAGAAATTGCATGTTCACAGACATTGTACCAATATTCCCATTGAATAAATAATTGGATATCACGTTTATTTTAAAATATTCACATCAGTGTTGTGGACATTTTTGGTTGTTGTTGTCTTTTTGGTTGCAGTCTTCACCCAGCATTGAGTTGTCTCCTCTAAACACCATCTACAATGGCCACATCGACAAATATCTGGGCTACTACAACTTTTTCTTCATCCGAGAGAGTACATCAATCAAAGAAGTATGTGTATATGTGAACCTGTCTTGCAAATTGTTGGTTTCCTATTAAATTTTTTTGTTTGTTTAAACACCTACTGTGATTTCAGGAAACTTTGATGGTAAAGGGATGAGTAAAACTGCTGAACAAGATGATGATCCAGGTTCTTCTCCTGCATTCAACCTTAAAAGAGTGGTTGGCATGTTATGTTGTGGTTTACAGCTGGGCTGCGATATCCACACCTTATCAAATTTTAGATAACACTTAATTAGCCACTTTTAAGACTTGCTTATTAAGGGGCAGCGGGTCTATTCCCCCCCCCCCCCCCCCACCTTGTTTTCAAGGAATTCCAGTAGCAGTTGCTGCCTTTCTACTGTGAAGCATTAGTCCTCCACACATTCTATGCTGTGATATTCCAGGTGGGCTGATTAATTCTCTCCTCTTTTCTTCCTATAAAATTTTCTTGCACATTTTTATATCTTCCCCCACCCCTGTCCCTCCTCCCCCACCCCTGTCCCTCCTCCCCCACCCCTGTCTCTCCAAGACCTGTGTATTCGACTGTTTATGTTTCATTGAAATCTGGCGTAGTCTTCTGTGTGTCCACATTTATAAGGCCTGCTTTTTGCTTTATAATTGTTTATTCTTTCTCCGGGTGATTGTGTTGCATAGTAAAGCCCCAGATGGGATGCAGTGGTGCTGAACCACACATAGTGGTGTACCATGACTAGGGCTTATAGTGGTCATCACCTGCCCAAACTTCTCCTACAAGTTGGAGTGCATCTGCCTGAGAGGCTTCTTCTTCTTCTTCTACTGACTTTCTAACTTATAGTGGAGCATAGGCCCTCAACCAACTCATGCTGAGTCATTCTATCCTTTGCTATCGCATGCAGCTCTCCCCATGTCTTCCCCATCTTGTTAACCTCACTCTCTAGCTCCCTTCTGCATGTATTTTCTTTCATCTTCCTTTATTTTTGTGCCCCTGTGGGTTCCAGTGCAAAGACATTCTAGTATATTATTGTCAGGTTTCCTGAACGTATGTCCTATTCAATGCCAGCATCTTTCCTTCACCTCTTGGTCCGCTTGAACTTGTTTAGTTCTCTCCCAAAGCTGAGAGCCAAAGAAGCAAAATTGCTCACACAGATAAGTCAGATTTTTTTAATGGATGTGCACACAAAACTCAAGTCCAAACACAAGTGGGCAGACAACCATGACTTTCTGCCATAGTTTACAGCCAGTAAACAGCAAAAGATTTCATAAGATGTTACCGTAAATTGCAGCGTACAGTTTGGCCTGGTGTACAAGTCAACCTCATGATTCTGAGCTCAAAATTCTGAGTTAAGCTTATACCTGCCTAACACATTAAAATAAAGTAAGTATAGTAAAGATCCCTTTTCACACCTTTAGGTGCATCGGGCATATGGGAAGAGCATCCTATATTTTTACAGACCAGTCCGCGCTAGGTGGGTAATGTGGTCAACATTACATCGGCCGTCTTTACTTCCCTAGGACTTACATCCTGGCACCCAATTTTAGGCTGGGTCTACCTGCGACGCCCCATACAATGATGAAAATCCACATAGCCAGCAGTGGGTTTCGATACGTTGGTATTACGAGTCAACAAATTATATAATACCCACCATATAAGTCAATTTTTTTTTTTTGGGGGGGGTTGGGGGGGGGGGGGGGGGTAGGCAGATTTCACTTTAGCCTCGAAAACTTTACTTACACATCGCAGTTCATATTAAAGAAATGTTGACAATGGTCCTGAAATCCCATGCTGAAGTTGTGGAAGACTTTTCTTAACGCAGGTGGGTCTTGCTAGTCACACTCGCCATCGCCATGGGCCGTGAGTCCCATGTCTCCTCATAGAGCAATACATAATACTAGCGCCTGTAAAGACGGAAAGGTCTCAATTATTATGTTAATATTTTTTTTCTTATCCTGCTGAAATAACTTTGGCCATTGTTATTTCAATGTGTGTCTGTCTGTGTGTTTGTGTCTGTGACCAGTATGGAGGTGTGGGGGGGTTCATGCAGAGCTTTCTCCTGGAGGTGATGGCCATCGTCCGGGCCCATGTGGCAGCTCTGGGAGGCAACGCTCTTGTGGCCTACAACATGTCTCAGTGCGTCCTGGAGAACAACCCGCACAAGAACCAGGTGGGTGGGTCAGGTGTGTCCTTGTTAGCAACATCATCATTGTATCCTCATCTCATCATCATCATCATATTATCATTGTATCATCTCATCATCTTATCATCATCTTCCTTATTGTCATATCATCATTATTATCAAATCATTATCATCTCTTCCTCATCATCCTAGTATAACACTATCATCATCATTTTAATATGATCTTACCCTTATAGTCTTATTATAATTCTATCATCTTATCATCTTCACTGTATCATCAACTCATCATCATCAGCTCATCACAATACCCTTAACTCATCATCATCATCATCTATACAACATGTCCCAGTCTGTGCTGTAGCAACAACCACATGATGAGGTGTATCATTGTCATAATTTTCATCATTTTCGTCTTCAGATCTTTGACATGTCTTAGTCTGTACTGTAGGAGCATCCCATATAAAAACCAACTTAGTCAGTGTTGGTTTTGTTATCATTATCCTTATCACTGTTGTTATCATCGGTATCATCACCCTCATCATCATCGGATTGGATTGGCTTTTTACCCCACCAGGACATCACACAAGCGATAAACACCCGATGACACAAAGTGCCACCATGCGGATGAGGATCACTGTGGAGAGGTCCCAGAAACCGCGTTCAGACATTTGGCCATAATGATGACCTGCCTATATTGCGGCCCCTGGCAATAGCCAGAGTGGGGCTTCAAATAACAAAAAATAACGTCCTAAGAAGGACGTAAGGAATACAGATAACATCATCATCATAATCAGCATCAACACCCTTATAGTGAGGTCTTATAAAATTCCCTTATACGATTTGGAACTGTGTAGGCATGCATGTAATTTTTTTTTACTATTCTGGTGCTTTTTTTGTTGTTTTTGTTTACTAAGCATTGGAATACTGCTATGTAGTTACTTCTTTGACATTTCCTGTTATGTGTTGCTTTGTTTTTTCAGTATTGCTTGGCTGATAAAGGCTTATCACAATGTCTTCTGTTGGGTTGTCTTTCCATGATAAAAGGAGTTCTTTCCCATTAATGATCCCCAGGATGATTTTTGAGGATGCTTTAATATAATCTAGTCCCCAAATATGACTTACTTCAGGCGTTAGACAAGTATAAGACCTAGTTCAGATGATCAGTCAGGCAAATATAAGACCTAGTTCAGATGATCAGTCAGACAAATATAAGACCTAGTTCAGATGATCAGTCAGACAAATATAAGACCTAGTTCAGATGATCAGTCAGGCAAATATAAGACCTAGTTCAGGTGATCAGTCAGACAAATATAAGACCTAGTTCAGATGATCAGTCAGACAAATATAAGACCTAGTTCAGATGATCAGTCAGACAAATATAAGACCTAGTTCAGATGATCAGTCAGACAAATATAAGACCTAGTTCAGATGATCAGTCAGGCAAATATGAGACCTAGTTCAGGTGATCAGTCAGACAAATATAAGACCTAGTTCAGATTATCAGTCTGACAAATATAAGACCTAGTTCAGATGATCAGTCCGACAAATTGATTTCAAAAGTCGGCCTCAAGTCGCGTGGCTCAAGTCTGACTTAAGTCGCATAATTAATGAAGGTGAGGTGAAGAGAGGATTGACTTCATTGCACCCGGTTGTATCCATTATGGCTCAGTCTCTCTCTGCAGAACAGCTAGCTGCCTGCCAACAGCGATGCATATAGCACGGCCTCTGTAACTTCAGCGACGACCCAGGATCTGCGTTAAAATTGCACTCATGGACTGAGCAGTACCACCTTGACACCAACCCATGACCTTCAGGGTGCAGGGCAAACGGTTTGACCACTTTGCCACGGAGATCATAATTAAAGACTTGCAACTTGACTTGGTGTTTTCTTGGGCAACTTGTGATTCAACTTGCGACTAGTAGCTTCCACGCCTTGGTATGGCTAGTACTTTGTGACCAGCCACTGTGATGTAGGTTTGGTAATCAACATCAGTTTAAAACGTGTTGATATAAAACATGACAACATAAATTCTATTTCGATTTACCAAGCTTTCACATTCAACTTCTGTCACTTTTTATATATAGTTCAAATGTTTTTTTTTTCACTGCCATTTCTAGTTTTGTATTTTCGCCATTTTCGATTAATCTTTATCTTTTTTCTAGTAAATTTAAAAAAATGTGCACGACTTGCAAATGACTTGATACATGAAATAATTCAACTTGGAAGCATTGGTGACTTGAGACTCAACTAGGGACTTGATGGCAATGACTTGAGACTCAGCTAGGGACTTGATGGCAATGACTTGAGACTCAGCTAGGGACTTGATGGCAATGACTTGGGACTCAGCTAGGGACTTGATGGCAATGACTTGAGACTCAGCTAGGGACTTGATGGCAATGACTTGGGACTCAGCTAGGGACTTGATGGCAATGACTTGGGACTCAGCTAGGGACTTGATGGCAATGACTTGGGACTCAGCTAGGGACTTGATGGCAATGACTTGAGACTCAGCTAGGGACTTGATGGCAATGACTTGAGACTCAGCTAGGGACTTGATGGCAATGACTTGAGACTCAGCTAGGGACTTGATGGCAATGACTTGAGACTCAGCTAGGGACTTGATGGCAATGACTTGAGACTCAACTAGGGACTTGATGGCAATGATTTGAGGCTCAGCTAGGGACTTGATGGCAATGACTTGAGACTCAGCTAGGGACTTGATGGCAATGACTTGAGACTCAGCTAGGGACTTGATGGCAATGACTTGAGACTCAGCTAGGGACTTGATGGCAATGACTTGAGACTCAGCTAGGGACTTGATGGCAATGACTTGAGACTCAACTAGGGACTTGATGGCAATGATTTGAGGCTCAGCTAGGGACTTGATGGCAATGACTTGAGACTCAGCTAGAGACTTGATGGCAATGACTTGAGACTCAACTAGGGACTTGATGGCAATGACTTGAGACTCAGCTAGGGACTTGATGGCAATGACTTGAGACTCAACTAGGGACTTGATGGCAATGACTTGAGACTCAGCTAGGGACTTGATGGCAATGACTTGAGACTCAGCTAGGGACTTGATGGCAATGACTTGAGACTCAGCTAGGGACTTGATGGCAATGACTTGAGACTCAACTAGGGACTTGATGGCAATGACTTGAGACTCAGCTAGGGACTTGATGGCAATGACTTGAGACTCAGCTAGGGACTTGATGGCAATGACTTGAGACTCAGCTAGGGACTTGATGGCAATGACTTGAGACTCAGCTAGGGACTTGATGGCAATGACTTGAGACTCAGCTAGGGACTTGATGGCAATGACTTGAGACTCAGCTAGGGACTTGATGGCAATGACTTGAGACTCGACTTGGACTTTAAAGGTGACTACTTGATCCAACCTCTGCAGATGTGTAAAACAGATGTGCATGCAAAGTTTATAGCCGTGTGAACACTAAGAAGTAGAAGATGAAGAAGAAGAAGCAGCAAAAGCTAATTGAGGCTTGGTTTTAAATGGGAACCCCCCCCCCTCCTCTCCCCCCCCCCCCCCCTGTGTGGGTTCCGGGGCCCCATTGTGGGGAAAACAAGAATAGACTCACTGTATCCCCAAAAGCATGTCGTAAAAGTCGACTAATTGGGGAGCTTCTTTTGAAGTCGGAGTGCATCTGCCAGAGAGGCAAGGAACCAACAGTCTGTATTCAAGAGAATGAGATCTGTAAAACTGATGCACACGCAACACTCAGGTTCTGGAGCAGGACTGCAGTTCAGTAATGGACGCGCAACCAGAACTTTCCGCCAGAGTGTACAGCTGGTGAACACAAAGAAGAAGAATGGGAAACGCAGTAGCATGCTCTGTAAAGCTCAGATTTTGATTTTTTTTTTTTTTTGCGGTAAAAAACATTGCCTCTAACAAAAAAAACTGACCCTTCTAATTCTGGCTGTTTTCTCCCCAGGGTCAGTGCCTGATCAATGTCAGCGGTGACGTGGTGTCAGTAATGTATGACGACAGTGACAGGGAAGCCTTGTTTGACATGCCAGTCCTGGTTCCTTCAACAGCCTCTTGATTCCTGACAACCTCAAAACATAATACCGTTGTGCCTTTATTATTCGTCACTGTGCTGGAATAAAGTTTTTGTTCGCTGATAACTATAGATATATTTTGTAAAATGAGTTTTGCTAAATGGTAGCCTCTTTCTGTCAGCCGACTTCTTCTTCTTTTGCATACGGATTTAAACAGAACTTTTTGTTGTGGTTTACAGCTAGGCTGTGATATCTACACCTTTCGGCCCATCACATCTAATTTAAGTAAATCTCTAATTAGTCATCTTTTGTTTATCAGAAGGCAGCGGTAATATTTTTTTTCACCCCAAAGTGGGGCTGCAGAACCCACACAGGAAATGTCCGTCAAGAATGTCAAATAGTCACTACTGTCTGTATATAGCACTTTTTTTTTAGGGTGGTGTAGACTGGAGGGGGAGGGGGTTGTGAGCCTGAGGATTTAGGGCTGCGTGGCTAGTGCTGTCACCTATGGATTGTGAAGGTTAGGATGTTTAATTTTGCCCTCGACAGAAAAACTCTTATCACCTTACCAGGGGTCAAACCCAAGCATCCCACCTGAGAGCCTGATGTGGTAACCAAGAATGTATGAAATTAAAGTTCTGCATGGCTGCTTATGTTGATTGAATATTATTTTATGAGATGATTGTTAATACTCAAGAAAACCTGAGATCAGATCTGTTATTTGAACTGTTTTAGTCTCAGAAACTTGGTCGTTCAAGCTATCATATCAAAGTCACTTAGTCGTATTCATCTGTCTAAACCCACTGTTAGAGTATCATTATTTTTATTCTCATCCTCCCTGCTCTTCATCTTCTTCTTTTCTTCCTCCTTCTTCATCTCTTCCTCCTCCTTCTTCTCTACCTCCTTCTTCATCTCTTCTTCCTCCCTCTTCTCTGTCTCCTTCTTCATCTCTTCTTCCTCCTTCTTCTCTACCTCCTTTTTCATCTCTTCCCCCTCCTTCTTCTCTACCTCCTTCTTCTCCTCCACATTCTTCTTCTTTACCTCCTTCTTTGTCTGCTTTTTCTCTTCTCTTTCTCCTCCTTCTCCTGATTCTTCTTCTCCATCTCCTCCTACTGCTATTATTTTTTTCTCCTCCTCCTTCTTCTCCTTCTCCTCTTCTTCTTTGCATTTACCAGCTGTAAACTCAGGAGAAACTAGTTGTTAGTAAACTTCTAGACTTTAGTTTCATTCCAGAACTGGACATTTTGCCTGAACATCTGTTTGACAGATCTGACTTGTCTTTGTATGCAGACTGTTGTCTCCTCACCTCTCAGACTGATGCCCTTCGACTTCAAAGGAACCCATCTCATTCTGTCCTTGGCTTTTCGCCTTACCTCTTTCAGTCCCAGCAAATGCATCACCCCAGATCAGTTACTTCCTATTGTGTCCCAGACAACACATAATATGATCCGATTGTGTGATAAACATTTGACTTTTTATTATTTTTTTCAAATTCTTCATTCATTTTCCCTATTCACTGGCTGTAAACTCCAGCGAAAAGTTTTGGTTGTTTATTCATCTCTGGAACTTTTTGTCTTGTTTAAGAACTTGAGTGAGTGTTGAGTGCATATCTGTTTTACAGATCAGACTTCTTTGTATGCAAACTGTTGGTTCCTCACCTCTCAGGCTGATATACTCTGAGTTTGGACACTCTTAATTAGTCAACTCCTTCGACATATTTGTGTGGGGAGTGGGGGGGGGAATAGGTCTATTCTTGTTGTCCCTACAATGTGGCCCCACAGCCTGCATGGGGAATTTTTAAAATTCAGCATAGTATGTTGTATTGGTTATATTCTGCCTCCAGGAAAGTAAAATGCTTACGCTTTATTTCTTGTGGTTAGGTTTCATTAGGCATCTCCTTGAGATCTTATGGGGCTGAAAGAGTTCAACTTTCCATGATTAAGTCATTTACTATGGTAACAAACCAACTGCCTCAGACAGATAAGGACTTTGAAAAATCACAAACACAGCTCTTTTATAGATAATACACACTACAGCAGGTGTCACTGCTGGGTTGCCAGACTGTTTTAGTATACTAGGACCAAATGTAAAAAGTGTAAGAACACAAGATCCAGTGTTTGGGATTCACAGGATTAGCCAGTGGGGCATCCACTTTGTGTTGTTTGGGAATTCGGTCATGTTGACTCAGGATTTGAAGTCTCTGTGTTTCTTTTTGCCAGGAGATATCCTGTATATGCTAATCTATGCTAATCTAGTTGTATGTATGCCTGTATGTTGTTGTTTATATTATTTTGTTGTTGATGCAGATACAGGTAAATTGCTTTGAACTCTATGCATGATTACACAGGAGCACTTCTCAGGGGAGATAAAAGACACACTTGTACAGTAGCAAATGTTGGTATAGACAGGGGGCCGTGAGCCTGGGGATTTAGGGCCGCCTGGCTGATGCTGTCACCATGGACTGTGCAGGTTAGGATGTTTAATTTTGCCCCCAACAGGAAAACTTCATCAACTTACCGGGGGTCGAACCTGGGTCTGCGGCATGAGAGCCTGTGGTGTCAGTAATGTATGACATAAAACATACAGTTGAAAAATAGGGCTCATGTGATATTGAACAGACCGTCCTCAGGTGGGTTCCGGGGCTGTATTGTGGGGAAAAGACAAGATTACACCCACTGCTTAACTAAAAGCTTTTCTTTAGAGTTGACTAATTGGGATCTTCCTTCAAAGTGGGAGGGCATCAGCCTGAGAGGCAAGGAACCAGTAGTCTGCATATAAATGATCAGATCTGTGAAACGGATGTGCACGCAACACTACTCGGGTTCTGGAGCAGGACTAGAGTCCAGAACTTGACAAACAACCAGAACTTTCTGCCGGAGTTCTACCGGTGAACACAAACAAGAAGGACACATTTGAATTGAACAATCACTGTCTGGGTTTTGGGGCCTCAGTTTGAGGGAAAGGGGAAAAGACTAAATGCCCTCTTACCAAGCTTGTTGTACGAGGGGACTAATTAGGGGTTTTTCCCTTCAAAGTGGACTGACTTTGCCTGACAGACCACGAACCAGCAGTCTGCATTCAAGTCTACCAGATCTGTAAAACAGGTACACACATAAAACTCAGGTTCTCGAACAAGACTAAAGTCCAGAAGTGGACAAACAACTAGAATTTTCCACCAGAGTTTACAGCCAGTGAACACTAAAAAGAAGAATTCAGCAATAGCAATCATGGCATAAAAAACTCTCAACTGAATTGAACAGTATCATTGATGGGATACAGAACAAAAGTGAACAACAGAAATCATCAGGGGATATAGAACACAAGATTATACAAATAACAATCACTGTGGATGATAAAAATACACTATCCTAGGATAAAGTTAACCAGTTATCATATGATATTTTAAAAAAACACAGTTGCTATCGCTGAAGGATATAGATAACACAACAGCTATCATCAGGAGGTATAGAACATATAATTACGTGGCACAAAAATGGAGATTGGTTAAGGGCAGTGCCAGGTTTCTGTTGGCTAGGGTTTCCATATTTCCACTATTTTGCGGACACTCACATTTACTCATAAATGAGGATGGATCCACAACATAACGGAAATATGGCAACCCTACTATTGGCAGATAATAATCTGTTTGGGACATCACGAATTTGCCCGCATGGTGAGAGTTCCTTTCCCTCCCATTCATGCCGTGACCGGTCACACGGCTTGTCCTATGTTGTGGGGGTGTTATGATGGCTTGGTTCTGTGTTCGCTCGCCGTATATAATGTTTGTGGAGAGTTGTGTTTTAGTGAGTTTCTTTGAGGCGCCGCAGGTGCTTGTACAAGTAGAAGCACTGCGTGGGAAAGCCCACCCCCTCCTCCAGAAAAAGAAGCCGCTGACAAGGAAGGTAGAACTATAAAAACATCGCAGTTTGGATATTCATAATCTGTCAGGAAAGTAGCACAACTTGGAAATAATCATGCAAGTGAGCGGTGACAACACGAGAAAAGAGACAGCAATTGAACCATTGAAAATCTGATGACACCTCCATAGCATAGAACAGGCCATGCGACTATGCCGCTGCAAGAATGGGAGGGGAAGGAACTCTCACCATACAGGCAGGGTTGTGATAAGTACCGTCTGTATACACAAACACACATGTTGTTTTCTATTTATGGACAGATTTTTTTATCTTTATATGTTGCTAATGCAAACAGATACGGTTAAATTATTGTGAATTCTATGCTGTTTGGGTTCAGCCTTGTTTATACCAGCTTTATTTGTGATGTATCGTCCTTGTTATCATGTGCCATCCTGAGAGGCATGAGTAATCCTGTTTCACCATCTGGCATGATCACCTTCATCACAGATGAGGTCATTGCTTTTTGTCTCACCACCATCCTCATGGCTAAGCCATCCAGGTATTATATCTCTTTGCCTTCCCTTTGCTCTTTTTTGCGATCCATCTTGCCAGTCATAACAGATTTGTCAATCAGCCAGTTTGAATTCCATGTTCAGCCTCTACCTATACCCATGTGGGTTGCTGACTCCATTGTGGGGGAAAACAAGAACAGACCCACTGTCTCCCCAACAAGCATGTGGTAGGAGTCAACTAATTGAGGGCTTCCTTCAAAGTTAGAGTGTATCTGCCTGATGGGCAAGGAAACAATAGTCTGCATACATATAAGCAAGATCTGTAAACGGATGTTCATTCACACAGCACTCAAGTTTTCTAACAAGACTAAAATCCAGAGAGGGACGGAAAACCAGAACTTTCCACTGGAATTTAATGCCGGTGAATGTGAAGAAGAAGAAGATGAAGCAGAACCTCAGCTTAGGGAGTTGGCCTCGTCCTAGGTAGCTCTGGTTGTAATTGTAGCTTCAGATCGTGCTGCTATTTTATTTTGTGTTTATTAGTGTTGGTGGTTCTAGCCTGTCATGTCTGTCAAGCTGGATCTTCTCCACCTGATGGTGCTGAGGTGAAATTCTTCTTTCTCACAACATGTGCAGGCAACAATAACTGTCTGCGGCTCATTTTTCTAACACGAT